CCCAGGTATTGCCGAAAGAATGCAAAAGGAAATCACCGCTTTGGCTCCATCTTCTATGAAGGTTAAGATCATTGCTCCACCAGAGAGAAAGTACTCTGTCTGGATTGGTGGTTCTATCTTGGCTTCTTTGACTACTTTCCAACAAATGTGGATCTCAAAGCAAGAATACGACGAAAGTGGTCCATCTATCGTTCACCACAAATGTTTCTAAGTTAAGGAAATAAAAACAAATATAATTGAACTTATTAGCTCTCTTTCCTTTCTTATTACTATTATTATTCCTTCGTTGTACTAATTTTTTAAAAAAAAATATTAGTTCGACTACTAATTCAAAATTTTATTTTACTAATCTCCTTTATATACAACAGATTAAGAGAATTTCTTATAAGATTCTATAATTTATTAAGTAATGCTTTTTCTTTCTTTTCATTTACTTTAAAAAGGAAAAGAAATAAGCAGTGTAATCCTTTGATGAATAAATATATATACCTAAGACATTTCTTTGTTCTACACAATTATATTTCCCATCTTGGAAATAAGGGTCAAGATAATGAATAGTTTCATATTTTCATCTTTTTTTGTATGGAGTCTCTTACCCGGGGTTCACCATTTTTTTTTGTTTTTTGATTTTGCTTTCTGGCTTTTCAAAGAACTACCAAAATTTAACGTAGCATGATTAGTTAAACCACCAAAAATACATATTTTATTAAGAAAAGCAGTACTAATGATATTCCATTATAAATTGATTAATAATATATAATATATTCTCAATCATCCCCATATAAAGCTAATCACTGTTCATACAAAAACAAAAGATGTTTTCTCTATCTCAAAGAGTACAATATATTGGAAATTTTTCCATGACCATTGGTTTGGTCATAATTGCCCTTATTATTGGTTCCTCTCATTTTGATTTGTTTCAAAAAGATATCTTGAGAAATAGTCAAGCTGCTATTGCTAACATTAAACCAATTGTAGGGCTGAGAACAAGTAGGTTCTACGGTGCTTCTAATGGTAATCCAAAAGAAAATACAAGAATTGCATTTGATTTAAATACAGATTTATCAGGATTGTTCAATTGGAATACTAAACAAGTCTTTGTTTATTTAACAGCAGAATATAATAATACTGAAAAGGGTACTGTCAACGAAGTAACCTTCTGGGATGCTATATTACCTGATGCTGACCATGCTATAATTAAATTGGAAAATGCTAGATCTAAATATTCAGTATGGGATTATGCAGGTGATTTAAGTGGAAAGGATTTGCAATTTAAATTACATTGGAATGTCCAACCACACATTGGTCCATTGATGTATGGTGTCGCTCAAGGTGATGATGTTATAGTTAATATCCCAAAACCTGAATCAAAAGTATAGATGATATATAGTAAATAGAATCTATGCAAAAACAATAAAAAATGAAATATAAAAGAGTACTAGGAATTGGAAGTCTCCAAAGGTTAACTGTTATTTATATTATTATATATATTTTCAAGACCAATTACTGATTAGAGGATATGCCTTTTTTTATTATAACTTTTATTGACATATATAGTGGTATAGATATTAACAGTAAAGAGAAAAATGAATATGTAAATGCAAAACACAACAAAGTATTGTGTAATATAATATGTTTATATGAGCAGGAAGTAAATAAATTCTTACTTTTTATTTTTTATCTTTTTTTAATTTTCAATATTGAATATTGTTATCATCGAGAACTTTCTTTAAAGTATCATAAGTTACTTCATCATCTGGAATAACTTCAGTTAGACCATATTGTGTAATAGAATACAGTCCCCACAAACCGACAATCGTAGATATAAAAAATGCAATGTATCCCTTTAAGGTGAAACCAGGTGCTAATGGTTTTGGTTGTCTTGGTAAACCTTCCATATTTAACCAATCATTCGAATGCCCCGCAGCGTTACCTTTATTTGCCATTCCTACACTGTCGCAAACTTCTTTATAATTATCTGTTAAAGTTTCACGTTGTTGTAAAGTTTGTGGGTCCTCGATAAAGACAGCGGCAAGACCTTGCTGCAAATGCCAATCTACATGACAATGGAAAAACCATACACCAGGGTTATTGGCTTTAAATCTTATAACCGTATGACCATTGGGTTCCAATATAACAGTGTCTCTAATCATTGGAAAATCAGGATATTCCATCAAAGGACTAGATTCGTTGTATGGGACAGTCATTTTATCCTGTAGACTTGGATCGAAATTTTCACCAACATGGAAACCAGGCGATTTTTGAACGACTTGGAAATTATGACCATGGAAATGGAATGGATGTCTACCTGTATCATAATTATTTAAGACAATTTCCACAATTGAATCTTTCTCCAGGATGAAAGCATTGATATTATCCCCATAAATTGCTGGGTTTGTTACTAATTTCCCTGCGGTTAAAACTGTAGTTAAGACAGGGATTCTTGGTGGAACATAGGTAATATTATTGAAGAAAGCATATTTTACACCATCTCCCAATGTATCCATTCTAACATCTAGCACAATTTGATTATCATATTTCTCATATAATGGAGTCTCATGTAATGTAGTCAAATAAAAATCATTGCTAGCACGTTTATCAAGTGTTTCTTGGGTTAAATTTTTCAGTGGTTCAGCATCATCGAGGTCATAATCATAAATAACTTGATTGGTAATTTGTAAATTCAACGTCTCAGGGATAGTATCTAACATAGTATCATCTGCTATTTGCATTAATGCATAATTCTTATTTGGTTTAGATTTCTTTGAATGCACTAATACGGAAATTCTTTGACCTGCAGCCAAATATAAGACATCAGTTACATTGGATTTTACATAAACACCATCTACCTCAACAATTTCAAAAGAATGATCCTCAAGAGTCAAATATTGGGAAACAAATAACCCAACGTTAATAAACCTAATCAAATATGTCTTATCAACTTCAAATTTCATTTCCCCCCACGATTTCTCGTTAAACAAAAATTGATTAGGGATAGGCTCATTCCCCATGGGATTGTATCTACTTAAAAATTGTTTTTCAATATCATAATAAGGTTCGTAATATAAATCAGTTATTGTGAATACCATCTCTTCATCGAATTCAAATGGAATCTCAGGGTCATGGACAATAAATGCGCCTCTGAAACCATCACCATACTGAGCACCTTGATGTGCATGATACCAGTAGGTTCCGACTTGGTTATCGACCGTGAAATTATAAAGGTATGTTTGTCCCGGTGGGATTGGACATTGTGTAATCATAGAAGGTCCATCCATTTGTAAACGATTCCCATATGATGTGTTATGAAATATACCATGAACATGTAAAGAAGTCAATGCCCTATGAATGCCTTCGAATCCGTTAGTCAAATATATCTGAACACGATCACCTTTATTGATATGAATCTCAGGAAGAGGCCATTCATCATTAAATGCTATAACTTGTTTTACTCTATTAGTGCCCGGGATTGTAACATTTTTATAACTGGTAGTAAAATTAAAAGTGTGTGTCTCTGCATGACACCATTGAACTAGAGGTAACAATAACAATAAAAACTGTATAAACATATTGGATGATATATGGTACCTACCAATGATCTATGTCTATTTATATTTTTCTTATGAAATGGATACAATAAATCAAGGGTTAACAAATTTCCAAAAGATTTAAACAGAAATGCAAAAAAAAAAGTTATTGATTATGATATACAATAAAACTTTGATTTCTAGTTTCGTGTAAAAAACTATCTGATCCTATATCTTCTAATATAAGTCTAATAATCTATGTTCTTAACTATTTTACTACCATGTATCTTTTCTCTCTGTCTTTGCATTTTTGTCCCCTTGCTATTAAAATTTCGATATTTGAAATTTGCACCCTCAAGATTTTTAATTGCACGTGACACAAGCACATAAAAACCGGAGTAGGCAGACACATCTACTTGCTATCATTTGGTACTCAAGAGATAGGTTGGTATTCTTTAATTGATTTCAGGAATATATGATTTTGGTTTGGATGTTACCATATCTTGTCTGTGGATTACATTTCAATAGCTACGTACAAAATATGTCATCAAGATGCATAAGGAAGACAAAGAATTATGACTAAGTTCATCGCTATACTGTTATTCCAAACAATGTAGAATTCTTCCAGTTCCAATTGAACGAACCGAAACCAATTACATGCATATTTTACGCTTCTTCTTGTAACTTTTCCATTTCTTTCTTTCGTTCTTCTTATTCTCTTCTCGTTTAAAAGTGATGAGAAAAGGGGAAGCTGAAACTGTGACAATTTCAAAGGCAAAAAATTAAAATAATAAACGGAGCTGGCCAGATGCACAGGTACACATTGTAACAAAATGGTAACGGGAAATTGTGAAGAGAAGACTATGATATAATCAAAAACTTCTGTCTCTTTGATCATGTACTGCTAAAAAATTGATTACTGTTAGAACTAATTTTTTTTAATTCCTTTCAAATCAATTAATCATTGAATTTTTCATCTAAGGAAAGGGGAAAGTATAATTTTAGTTGATTTACACACACATATATATATACATCTAATTGCATATATATATGGATAAGACTAATCTGATATATCTTACTGTATAAACCATTTATAGTGTACACTGATCTTTAGGTTAGCTAACTTAGATGGATTTTGCATCAGAATATATGCCAGACATTGATGACTGGGAACCGGTCCCAAATGAGACAGAAAATAATGAGGCATTAGAAGAACCGTTTTCTACCGAAGAGAAAAGAAATATTCCAAAACAATTGGTTGTGGATAGTGATGGTAGCGAGGATGTATCATCCAGTTCACCTAGTTTGAACGATAATGATAAAGTTGGTAGTATTAAGAGTGCCAATGCGACGTCAGATGTTGATACTGATCCAGCTGTAGATCATAAAGAAGTCAATGACGAGAAGTTGCCATTAATGGTGGATACTAATCTAGCTAATGACGAAGAGTTAGTAAGTGGTGATGTTAAACCAGAGAATGGGTTACAATCACCGTCATTTTTAAACAATATGTTTTCTACCTTTAGATCATATTCTCAATCAAATGATAATAATTCCGTAACTTCACCTACGGGGACTGCAGCTACATCACCAAACATAATTTCACATAGAAGGCAATCTTCTTCAGGATCTAGGATGAGACATTCTAGTTTACATTCAGCATCAAATTCTGTTACTTCTAGCCCTAAAGTGGCTCCACAATCGAGAAGTAGTCGTGTTAATAGTATGAGTAGCGTCGGTACTACGAATACCAGTAAATCGTTCAAGGACTTAAGACCAATGGAGACAATCTCTACTATCAATAGTAATAACGTGGAAGAACCAGATGACCGATCATCTCCTTCACCTCAACTAGATTATAACCCTAAGAAATTTGTCGAGGAGAAATACTTGGATACACAATATCATTATGCTTCTCTGGAGAGAGATAAAGATTTTCATACGCTGTTTACATCTATTCCGAAACATGATCGGTTAATAGACGATTTTAGTTGTGCGCTCTCTAGGGAATTCTTATATCAAGGTAGAATATACATTACACAGACACATTTGGGTTTTAATTCAAACATTTTAGGATGGACTTCAAAAGTGATCCTAGAATTTAAAGATATCACTTACATGGAAAAGACATCATCAGCAGGGGTGTTCCAAAATGCTATTTCTATCGAAACTGAAGAAGGTAAGACACAATTTATAAATTTTATTTCCAGAGATGGTTGTTTTGGTCTAATGAAGGAAGTTTGGTCTCGTAACTTATTGGCTCATGAAGAAGAGAAACGTAGAAGTGCAATTGGGATCGCTTTACCTGAAACTTCACCAAACAATAGTAATAATCCACATTCTTTAATAGATACATATTCGGAGTTGATTCACTCTCCTGATTCAAAACTGGAAACATCTATAAAAACAGGTAATTCTTCCGAAGGCAACATATCTGATCATTCACTTGTGAAAAATACATTATACACCACTACTGATGGTTTTACGGCAACACATACTGAGAAAGTTTTGAACATTTATAAATTTAAGGAATCATCTCCATACAATGAATTTGATTTTAAGCCTCATGTCTTGAAACCAACACAATTTCCATTTTATCCGCCAAATGAAAATAAAAATGAGCATATATTAATAGAGCGTACAGTTAGTTGTACACCTAATCAGGCATTTCAAATGATATTTAATGCAGCACATCATGAATTTTTACAATCTTTCTTACTAGCTACTGACTCGCGGGATATCAAATTACCGGAGTCATACGTTACAAATGAACAAACCGGTAACCTTGAGAGACAGTATAACTATTCGAAATCTATCTCGGGTATCCCAGGTGGCTCAACCGATTGTATTGTTACTGAGGAAATTATACATAATGATCCAGACAATTATATTATGGTAATAAATACTACAAAGACACCAAATGTACCATCCGGAGGTGCCTTTTCGACAAAGACAAGGTATTTGTTCAAATGGGGGGTTGATAATTCATGTGATCTGCTGATATCATTCTGGGTCGATTGGACTGGTTCCAGTTGGATTAAACCCATGGTCGAAGCAGGTTGTAAAAATGGACAAACAGATGCAACAACTAAGATGATGAAAATATTGGATGATTTGATTGAGAAATATATATTTTCAGAAGTTGTAATTGTAGAAGCAGATGAGGAGAATCATGGCGTCTCAGAAAAAGATATTGAACGTAATATTGAGGAAAATGATGCCAGACAAGAGGCTATTAAAGTTCAAAATGCATTAAAGAATCAAACTTCGGGTACTTCAGAGAGTAATGGCCTGATAAATGTCCTTCTTGTATTTATTGCTATACTTTTATTGTGGAATATCTATAATCAACGTTCTTTGAATAGCTCCATAAGCAGTTTGCAAAGAGCTGTCGACAAACTTCAAATGAAGTAGAGAATTTGAATTAAATATTATGCATTAGATGGGGGGAGGAATCATATATATATATATCTGTATGTATGTATATATAAGTTAAGAATAGATCAGTAATCTAGTGATGGCAAAGCTAAAGTTAGGGTTATGATATGCCAGAAATTAATGGTTTACGAAATAGTTTAATGAATCTTCAAAATGCGATGACATTTAAAAAGTTGGGAAACTTAATTGTGGTAATTCTGGATAGTGCAGTAAAGTAGTCGAGTTAGTTATAGTTTCTTCTGTTGCACGTTCAGTGACATTATTTCTCTGTGTATTATCTGTACTAGATTCCAAAGTGGAAAAGGTGGTTGTATGACTTAATCTTACTCTACTACTAACATTCATCGATGAATTTTGCAAAAAGTTTAACGATTGTTGGAAATTTTGTTCGTTAAAAGATGGCGGCAGTGCTACCATTTCTCTTTTACTTTCAGAACCATGTACCTGGGTAACACGGTTTCTAGCAATATTTTTAGCCAAAGATACTTGATGTCTTTCCCACTCAGCATCAATCCTATTTTTTAGATCTTCAATTATCCTAAGTACCGCAGGAACCTCTAATTTTATCAATTGTAAATATTCTTGTCTGTAAAGTTTTAAGTCAGGATCACTCTGAGGTTTTTCACTTATCAAAAATTCTGGATGTCTAGATAATTTGTTTGTACAGAGATCCACATAACGATAGTAATACATGAAGGCCCTTGCATTATCACCAGTTTGGAAACTCAATTGCGCTTTATCAAGGATTCCAATACATGTCTTAAGGTATATCCGAAGTGGGATAGCAGGGTTGAATTTATAATCCTTGGCCTCTTGAGCCAATTGAACACTAGAAAGCATTGTTTAACAGTAATAGAGTTGGGAAGGGTATCAATTAATGTAAAAGAGCTATTAGAGTTAGAACAACTGGGGAGAAACAGAGAAAAACTTATTATTGATCATACAGAAATGAATTCGGACAATATTGTTTAATATTTTACTATTATTATTATCGATTACTTGTTATGATAAGAGACCGACATATTGTTATAAAAGTCTTACACGAAATTATACGATTTTAAATTCTGACATTGTCACGAGTTCATTACTATTGGAAAACTCCATAATGAATTGCGATGAGATTGGACGTCGTCATTGTTTGCCGAATCGATGGCTTTTTTGTTTTTCGGTTGCTTAGTTTTTACAGACAAACGCCCGAACAACAAGAATTATTTGACAAAAAAAAAAATCAAGTTCAACCAAATTTTTCAGTTTGAATGAATCAAAGTTTGACTGATATTTATAATAGCATGGATGATATTGAAATGGACGAATATATATTATCAGAAGACTTTTTATGTTGTTGAATTGAATCTTTTAGTTAACGCAGGTAGTAGAGAAACTTTTAACCTATCTTTGTGGTTCCATCTTGTCTTCTACACAAATGGGATTAATTAAAACTTAATAACGTTACCAATATCGATATGAAGTGACACGATTGTCTTGATTGTGTTAGACCGTCTAACTAAAACGTTCCATATTTCAATTTCATATATATCTATATATAATACATACTTCAAACTGCTTATCAAGATGAGTTTTCGTATACCTATAATCAGTCCGTGCTGGCTCTTACAACTACTTTAGAATTAGACCCATTATCATATTATCTCTATGAATTGGTAGTATTGAAGAACGTCATAGTCAAACAAACGAGTTATATTCTCATATAATATTTAAAATTTCAATTGTATATACCCCACATATCACTAAAACACTCTTAGCTTTCCAACCGGACCCTGATGAACCGGTGATTATTACCTTCCCTTCAAATTTTAACGCCATTCAAGAGATACATTAGCTCAATATTTCCACGTACTATAAATTCAGTAAATGCACCAGGAACACATCCATCCGTAGCCAAACCTGTTGAAAGGCATATCTTTCTTTTCATTTCATTTGTTTCTTTGGATTTCCCTTCAGCTAATCCCATTGAAACGAAAAAGAAAAGTGAAAATTTCTGGGAAACTTTTCAACTTTGGACATTTCGCGTTTCAATGGTAAGAAAAGGTCGTAGAAGCCAACAATGACGCGTGTCCTTTTAAAAGTTTTTTTTGGGTTTTTTGATTAAATAATATTTGAACAATAATAAATTAGGAAGAAGCAAGACGAACGGTACCCATTCTGCGAGTTGAATTCAATTAATTATTGGCGTTTTATTTATGGGACAATTGACTTTCTTGGACAAGAAACGAAAATTTTTCTCTCTTGTTCCTCATGATTTTATTGCATGCGCAGGTCACAACGACAAACAGTAACGTTTATATGTTTTTTCACATACCTTTGGAATTTAAAATATTTCTCATTGCTAGTCTGGCTATTAATATATAATTGTCACATTTTCTTATTTGTTTTTAGTAGTTTGCCTTAAAGGTTATATCTTTACTTTAATTCTTATTTTTCTTAGTTTCTTGCTGTTATTTTATTCTTTTACAAAAAAAAGATCTTTGACTGCAAATACAATCACACATACAGTAATGGCTGCCTCAGAATTTACATACAAAGAACAACCAGAAACCCTAGTCTTATTTGACGTTGACGGTACATTAACCCCAGCTAGACTAACTATTTCCGATGAAGTTAGGGACACTTTGAAGAAACTAAGACAAAAGGTCTGTATCGGTTTCGTTGGTGGTTCTGACTTAAGCAAACAATTGGAACAATTAGGTCCAACTGTCCTAGATGACTTTGACTTTGCTTTCTCTGAAAATGGTCTAACTGCTTACAGACTTGGTAACGAACTAGCTTCCCAATCTTTCATTAATTGGATCGGTGAAGAAGAATACAACAAGTTAGCTAAGTTCATCTTAAAGTACTTATCTGAATTAGACTTACCAAAGAGAAGAGGTACTTTCCTAGAATTCAGAAACGGTATGATTAACGTTTCCCCAATTGGTAGAAATGCTTCTACTGAAGAACGTAACGAATACGAAAAGTACGACAAAGAACATCAAATTAGAGCTAAGTTCGTTGAAGCTCTAAAGAAGGAATTCTCTCATTTGGCTCTAACTTTCTCCATTGGTGGTCAAATCTCTTTCGATGTATTCCCAACTGGTTGGGATAAGACTTACTGTCTACAACACGTTAAGGGTGATGGTTTCAAGGAAATTCATTTCTTCGGTGACAAAACCTTCAAGGGTGGTAACGATTTCGAAATCTACACAGATGACAGAACCATCGGTCACTCCGTTAACTCCCCAGATGACACTGTTAGAATCCTAACTGAAGTCTTCAACTTATAAGTTCAAATAATATTATAACTATACAAATCAAAGACAAATTATTCACCTTTTTAATGAAAGATATATATACATATATCACAAGCTTTCTTTTATCCCTTAATATACATTTATATACTATAATGTAACAAAATTATGTTGTTAATAAATTACTCGTTTTATTATTATTTATGATAAGAGTCTTATATATGCTAACACCAATGCACATGTACCTGTACATACACCAATTAACCATTGCATAACTTGTGTCTTAACCGAATCAATTTGCATCTTCATGTTAGATACTTCTTGATCTATTCTAGTATCGATTTCCTTGATTTGCAAATCATGGTGTGAACTTTCCTCTTTGATTCGTCCTTTTTCCAAAGAAAGATCAAGTTTAAACCCAGCGTTACTCTTAGATATATCTTCTTTTAATCGACTTTTCAATTTCTCTAAGTCATTTTTCATACGTTCATATTCATTTTGAATATTATAAAATTCATTTCTGTCAGAACTCAATAACTGATCTCGTAATTTGGCAAAATCTACCCTTTGTTGATATGTTAATTGTAGTAACCTTTCACGTTTGGCAAGATCTTTTGCCACATGGGAAACACCACTCCTTATCGATTCTGTAATAGTATGTACGATTATGCGAGATTGTTGTTCAGTGAAGTCACCCTCTTTCATCAGGATGTCTTTATATATGTTTGTATTCTTTATATGAATTGGTTCTTCCTCTCGACACAACATTTTAGTTCTGCTAAGATTTCTCACGAAGATTGGCATTCCAACATATTTTCTAACTGGAAATGTCGTTCTAATTAAGCTTATCATTTTCAATCATATATTCATTCCCATATATATAGTTTTGTTTGTTATTTGAATTATGATGTTATTTGTGGGATCGTTATATAGTTAATTTTGGGTGTTTTCATATATCTAAAGTAGAATGCGATGAAAATTGTAGAGAGAAAAAGGGTCCACTAGGAAATACCAAAAAAAGGTAGCAATAATAAAGAAGAGAAATACATAACAAGCAAAGATGACTTATAATAAATAATGGTATATGTACGCATATATATAAATTATCATCTCTCTGATGAATTTTGTCTCTTCAATTCCTTGAAAATACGTTTCTTATGGGTCAGTATATCATAGAATATTTTATAACCTAAATCATTATCTTCGAATTTCTTTGCATGTAAAATACAATTTGCGAATTCCTTCGATACATCTGTAATAAAAGTAGAAACAAACATATCCACCTCCTTAGATTTCTCTTCAGAGGTATCATTTGCATTTGCCATCCTTAATATCTTAATCAGTCTGTAGAAATGCGTAGTAATGGCATCGAGTGTTGCAATATGTGGCTTTGGTAGAGATGCTAACGCAGTAAAAATACCTGTTATTCTCTTTTCTTCATTATTGTCCTCTTTTTCATCATTGCTTTGTGGATATTCGTTGTATAATACACCCAAGATTTCAGCAAGTTCGGTAGTAATCAAGGGTTCTGGTAATTCAAGTAAATAAATCTTCAGTACGCTTGCAATTGTACTAGGCTCATAATTCCCATCTTTTATGATTTTCATTATATTTTCGTCATTTTTAAATTGGGTTTTATTTAATAAATTTCTTAATTGATGCGTTAAACTTAGTTTTACCGGTTGAGTCCATGTTGAAACTCTTATTTTATCATTTTCCATATCAGGATATATCATATCCATATATGATAGTATCACAGTAATTATCAATGGCACAACACGTTTATCTAGACGACAACGGGTCTCCAAGTCAATACCAAAATTTTGATAAATACCAGGGTTGTAATAATTGTTATAAGTTATCACCTTTGGTTGGAACAACCCAGTGTTATATTTAGAGATTAAACCCAATAAATCCCCAGTTGGATCAATAGTTCCTTCAGCATCGATCATCTTCTCTACATGGACTTTCATTTGAGCCATCTTGTTACTAATTGTAGAACAAAAATCGATGGTTGCCTTTTTAATTGCCTTCGTACGATCCAGTTCACATTTTTCAATAAAGGAAAGATGGTCGATCATTAATTCCTCGACTGAACATCGAAGGGTATCCATTTTATTACATTCTTTAAAATATAGAAGATTTGCTGCTTCCACATCTTTAATAAGTCCGTGTAACGCCCGTTCAATATCAGAGATATTTGGTGGTTCTAACCCGATGGCAGTATCATTGCCTGTTGTGTTACTTGTATCATCTGATACGGGTGTGTTTTCTTTTCCATCATTATTATTGTTATTGTTATTGTTATCGTTTGAATCAGTAATAGATGAAGTAATCGATAATTCCTTTGCATCAAAAGAATCGTCTACACTATCTGTATTGTTCGACACTACAGTCGTAGTATTTCCACTAATACCATCTCCTGAAAAGTATCTAGTTAAATTACTAAAATTACGAGATATATTTTCCTGTAAATTCTCAGGAGTTTGACTACTATTATTGCCCCCATTTCCGGCGGTATGATTTGGCAATTTAGCAAATTTATAAGCGTAATCCTTCCATTGATATTGAAATTTTTTTGAATTTACAAATGAATTTCCAACACCATTAACGTATTTTAAAAACCCATAATCCAATAAATCTTGACCAAACCTTTCAGCTTGATCCGTATCTTTAAATGACATAATTTCCAATATAAAATGTGTAATCTCATAACCTGTATTAGTATTTGTTAAGGGATAATTGATCAAAGGTAATCTGTATTCAACGTGAGGCAAATCCTTTAAGAGTGCAGTAATTGTTTCTCTTAAAGTTCTGTAATCGAATTCAATGTCACCTAATTTTCCAAATACTTGATTTTCTTTTTCATTTTCCAAATAAAGTTCATGTTGTCTTTGTAAATCTAATGATTTCATTGCTTTTGTTAACTCATCATCGTTCATAAAATTAATTCTTTTAAAATCTTCTAATTTTTTACATTTATTGAAATAATCTCTCTCTAATTTACTGACATAATTCTTAGACTTTGAAAGATTCTTAACATTATCCATTAGAGTCTTTTCAGAATATTTAATCCTTCCTTTATGATCAAGACACCATTGACTAAAAGGTTGTAGCACGAGACTCTCTATATTTGAAGCGATATTTAAATGTTCATCACCTTCATTCTCCATTTCTTTAAGAATATGATGTAATGCAACGCCAGCTGTAGTCTCTAAATGATCTTCTGGTTCTTTATCGATCCCAGTTTGAATAGCACATAATTGTCTACCATATGAAACTTCATATTGCATTCTAGAGGCGAATAGCTGAATAAAAGCATCACATTGATTGCAACCATTGTATAATTTATAAAACAATACTTGGAGACCTGACGTCATATCATCGGACCAAAAACTATCTGCAAACGATGGCATAATGAATAGGGGTGCGTTGGTAATAAGGCCTTAACGAAGAAGCGATATGTAATATATTTCCCTTTTATTTTAGCAGCAATATGCTCTTCACAAGAACCTTTTAATGAATATTCACAATGTTTTCTGTTTTATATAGTATTGACAACAATAATGCAGCGATGGCGTCTGTTTTGATTTTCGCTGTGAGAGAAACATATTATAAAATTTACTGATTTATTTTTAGTTAATATAATTTTACAGAGGGAACTGCAGCTCTAAAGATATAAATAGAGTACATATACAATTTTAACAAGACAAGACTACATATATATGTAGGGTTTACAATCACTTATATACATATCTACTTGATCTAATTTCTACAGGATGTATACGATGTCACCAACTATGTAACAATATCACGACTTTCATAAATATATCAAGTAGAATAGATCTTATCTTACGAAAATATACCATTAATTACATGATTATTTGTACGTAATCTCTCTCTTTCTCTCTCTCTCTCTCTCTCTCTCTCACAGTAAGAATGAAAAAAATGAAAATTGAAATTTTTCACTTTAATCGTGGGAGAGAGAAATCAAGTGAAAATAATGCTAATGGAGCGCTTGTAACGGTTAGTTTGGCCCTTTAACCACCAAATGTAGAAAATAATAATAGTAAAGTACTATTTTAAAAACAATAAAAAGATTTAAGGTATCTAGGTTAACTTGTTATATGTTGAAGCTTTTACATCACTGTTATATTAAAGAAAGTCAGGTATAAAGCAAAATAATAAAACAAACAAGGAATGTTATTTTCTACTTTAACGAGAAGCTTGCTGATGGCTGGTATGGCAGTAGTATCGGCTCACGATACAGGTTCTTCCTCTTCCTCACTAAAGGAGGTACCTAATGCAGATAATTCTCTTCCTGAATTACTCTCTTTGCAATCCATTCCTGCCAATTGGGTCAGCTCAGATCAAACCAAATTAGAGGAAGGTAGAATCATTTTGACCCCAAAGAAACAATCAAAAGGTTCATTATGGTTGAAATCATCAGTGAAATTAGAAAAAGAATTTACTATTGAATGGACCGTCAGATCTGTAAATTATGAAGGTGACTCTACAGGAGGGATGGCCTTATGGTTCATATCTTCAGAAAAAATGAAGGATACTAGTTTATATAATGGTCCTGCTAAATTTAATGGGTTGCAAATTCTAGTGGATAATAATGGTCCTTTAGGACAATCGATTCGTGGTCAACTAAGTGATGGATCCATTTTGTTTAAGAAAGAAGGTATATATGATAAATCATTTGGATCATGTTTGATGGGTTATCAAGGTACTTCAGTTCCTGTCACTATTCGTTTATCCTATTCTGAAAGTTTAGTTAGTAGTAATAATAATATGTTAAAATTACAAGTGGATAATAGAGTATGTTTCCAAACCAATAAGATTAATTTACCTCGTGATGCTATTGCTAATAATGGGTTATATAATGTTGGTATTACAGCAGATAATGGTAACACCGATGAATCATTTGAAGTTTTGAAGATGAAATATTATGATACAGTGACTGAAGACGCATTGATTCCAAATGTAAAAGCAATGGGTCAGCCAAGAATGATTGCTAAGATTATTGATCAAAGTACTGGTGAAGTGAAAACTGTTGAAAAGGAAGTATTAGATGAACAAAATGATCATACTTCAAATTATGAATTGTTTATGAAGATGGATAAAATTGAGGGTAAAATATTAGCTAATGATATTAAACATTTACAAGATAAGTTGGAAACTATAATGAACAATCAAATTCGGATGGTGGAACAAATGAATCATTTATTAGAGAAACTGAAAACAGGTGCTTCACCTAATGGAGAAAAACAGTCAATTATGGATGATGAAAGTTATAAACAATTCTTTTCAGTAAATGAAAAATTAGAAAAATTAGTTCAAGAAAGAGAAAAACTAAGAGAAGTTAATCAAAAGGAACAATCTTTACAAAGCAATAGTGTATCAAGTGACGAAATATTGAAAAAATTAGCTGTTTGGTTATTGCCATTCATTATCTTGACTGTTGTTCTCGCATATTATACTTTCCAAATAAGGAAGGAACTAACAAAGACAAAGTTGCTTTGAATTAAGTTAGTGTCTTAAAGATAATAGAAAACATTTTTGCATTTTATACGAAAAAACATTATGTAAATTATAACTTCTGTCAAATACAAAAAAAATAAACAATTGAACATTGATTAGGTTTACTTTTACAATCAATTCTAATGTATATCCATATATATAATTTCGAATTGGTATCATTTACAAAAATGTATATAATCTATTTTTATTTATCTGAATTATTTTCATTCTTGATGGTTTGTTCCATGTCATTTCTTTTAGCATCATTCAATGCATCATTATCTGCTATTGTATTTGTTTGTACAACATGCTGACCAACATTTCCGTTAACTCTCATTTGTTCTAAGACTTCTTGGGGGATGTTAGCATAAGGTGGTTTCCTTGTCCTAATATTTGCAAACCCATAGAAATTACCGTTGGGCACTCTTCTCGTGGTATGTATTTCATCCGTAGTAGTCTCCTCATTGAAGATCTCCTGTGTATCTGTTACCGCCAACATTTCGCTCAAAGTTTTTGTTTGTAGTTGTTTTATTTGATTTGCTTTTAAGCCGATTGGTATACCAGTTTTATACTGCCAATATTTGCCCCATTTCTTCTTTCTCATACTACGCATTCTTTGAACACCAGTATTGAAAAATAAGGAATCATGTAAATATTCGACCTCTTTAATCTGATTTGGGGTCAAAGTATTTAATTTCACTAACAGACTATCCCTTTGATAAATTGGTAAACCTCTATAAGTATATGTATCATCTATTGTATTCATCATTTGTATTGGATTTTCCCTTATTGGTAAAGTTTCAAACTTCCAACCATTAATATTTAAGATAGCATTTGTCTTTGAATGTGTTGTAGTAGAAGTAGATGGAGCATGAGAATCGGTATTGTCATCATTCTTTTTTGATTTACTATCACTTAGAATATTACTTAACATCCTACTCATTGGTTTCGATTGGGTAAAGTTGGGACTTGCTGCTGCAGTAGTTGTCTCGGATTCAATATTATCAGAATAGTTATTAATATTGTTTAAATTATGGTTACTATTATTTCTACCGGCAATAGCACCTTTGACTGAATTTGAAAAACTGGTCATTGATGATAATGAACCCATACTTGAATCCAAGTTAGCATTATTGATATTGTTATTGCTGTTATTTATTTCTTCCAATGATTTACCAATAGGTACATCTAATGCCTTAGATTGAGTTGCTTGTAAGAAAGAGTTTTTACTATGATATTTTGGTACTTTAAACTGTGCAGTTAATTCCATTGCATCGTTAATACTTTGACCTGGCATAACAGTCGTAATATGTTGACCTTTACTAAATTGTAATAAATATTCATCTTTAATCTCTTTTGATGGTTGTTCTGTTATTGTTGGATATGGTGATACAAATGATATTGGTTCTTTTGATAACGTTATTTCTTCATCTGTTGGAATAATATGATCATCTTTTTCAATTCTTGTAAACATTGAATCATTCAATGATGGTTTCAATTGGTAAACTAATCTAATCAGTCGTTGTGGTAATTTATGTACTCTATGATGTTGAGTTAAACCTTGTTGTTTCCCAATGGTTTCCCAATAATCATCTGCTAATCGATGACCTGATGCTACTACTGACGCACCAAATATAACAAATGCGGCCTTACATGTAATAAATTTATAACTTTCTCTTTCTTCAGTGGCTCTAATATTATCTTGTATAATTTGATTATCTATTAAGAATTCTATGTCTTCAGCGGTAGGTAAATGAGTTATTAAGATATCATATTGATTTAAAAAATCAGGCATGCTTAATTCATATTGTAAAGCTTGTATTAAATCTTTAACTAATAAAAAATGTGTTTGCCCAATTCTAGCAAGGGTGAAAGTATTAAATAAATATTTTGAACCATTTAATAATTGACCAAATATAGATATTTTTCTTTCACCAACGGGATCTCGTTGAGATAATGGATATTCTAAGAGTTTATCCTTTTCAATAATTTGTTTGTTAAAACAATCAGGTGGAATAACAAGTGTCTTTTGGGGGAATTGATTTAACGGACCTTGTAATAATTCATCTTGACCAGCTAATGGTACCGTATGTTTCACGAGAAATAATTCATGAGAATGCAATGTTTTGGGTTTAACCATTTGTACTGTACCTTTAATTTTGACATTGTCATTGTCATTATTGTTATTACTAGTAGATGTAGTGGTTGACATTTTGATATATTCAAAATAAATTTAATTATAAGGTGAGGAAGTAAATGAAATGAAAGAATAAATAATAAAAATAAAGTGAGAAAGATTTTTAAAAAAAAATGGATATGGTATGTTTATAATGCTACAAAAATGCAATTCACTTTAATAAACCAAAAGTAATACAACAAAAGAATATACTTTGTTAGGTATACTCTCTAAAATAAATAAACAATTGAAACAATGTTGTTGTATTATTATCCTAAATTTAATAAAATATATTTAATAGCGGTAAATTTATTAATTAAGGGTATGGTTGTAAAATAAATGTGTCACTAATTCAATAAATAGTTATCGAATAAAACAAAGATTTCCAGGGTTCTTTGTTGTTTTGTTTACTTCTGTTCGTTCTGCACTGTGTACGTAATGATAATATTGCTGGAAGAATTTCAACGTTAGTCATTTTACTAACAAAGGCTTTCAATATTTTTTTGTTTGTTTTTTTCACCCGTAAAATACATATTATCAATGGGCGTCGTGTGAAGTGAGTTACGGATAATACTAAGAAATGTCCGTACAAATAACTCAAATTAATAGTACTACTTCGCGAAAATGTAATTTAATTTTTAGAGAATTACAATTTGGTACATAATATAGTGAAGGCATGTCTTTTTAATAAATATTATACTTTTTTGGCTTTTCTTTTGTCACCTCATCTAGTGAACCTGAGGGACTTGGTTTAGCCAGGTTCTTCTTCTTCTTCTTTTCTTTGTCTTGAATTTTTATTTGTGGGTTTTTCTGTTGGATTTAACTTTCATGTAAAACTACTAAATCATCGACAATATATAAACTGTATTAAAGCTATTGTCATAGAAATATATGCATATTTCAGAAAAAGACGTTTATATTTAAAATGTAGATCCATCGATGTGTCTTGGTTTTAGAAAAAGAGCACTCCCTTCATTTTTACTTGATTAGAGTTTATTATTATTTGTCACTATTCATGAAAACTGTAAGAAGGATAGCTCTTTTAAAGGTATAGATAAATATATGTATAGTTTATGCGCAAGTTTATAAAGTGTAGATTTTTTACTATTATATTATTCGTTTATCACCATATCTTTTTAATCACCTTTTTTTGTAGTTTGCTTGATTTGTTTGTTGATTATAATTATAATGTGATATCTGTTTAAAATGGTTTACAACCTTCAATCTGTAAACTATGATCCACAAATTAACTAACGATAGTATGGAATGTATTGCACCAAATGAATTGTAACTGGTCTAAACCATTTTTCGGATAGAGTAATAATAATATTTTAAAATTATCTCAATTGTCTAATATTTTGGCTCGGTTCCGTTCGGATAAAAACGGAACAATTTTCTTTCGGTTGACAAAAGAAGAAGCTGATGGAGTGAGGGAGGAAGGGAGAAGGTTGCTGCTGATATAAGAACTGAATAGATAAATTTTAGGCATCCCTTCTTACTTTTTTCTTTAAAAAACATAAGGATAAACTCCTCTATATTTTCTGCTGTCAAGATTGAGATTGTTCGTGCATATATAATTGTGATTACATAATTCAATTTACTTTTGGTAACTCTTTCAACTCAAGACCAACCTTGTTTTTCTAGCACCTCGTATATATATTAGTAGAATAAAGTTTGAAATTGTTCTTTTAGAAAAAGAATAATTGCATGTTTAATTGAATTAACATTAAGAAAGAAAAGAAGAATAATACCCTGAAATAATGACTACAACTACAGATACAGATACAATTAGAATTGTAATTCCAGATTGGCAAGGCGGTTGTTTAAAAGAATATCAATTTGGTGCACAATTATTAGAATGGTTGGCCCCCAAGACAGATATGCCTACGATTCATATTGATACTGCGCCAATATCAACTAAAGAAATTGAAGAAGATGGTGTTTCTAACAAATCATCAGTATTAAAGACAATTAATGATGCAAGGACGCAAATTGAGCAATATAATCCAAAGAAAATTGTTACATTAGGTGGTGATTGTTTAGTATCATTACCATCATTTAGTTATTTATCCGACACTTATAAAAATGATTTCGGTGTATTATGGATTGATACACATCCAGATATTTCAATCACAGGTCAAGTTAATCATTCACATACATATCCAGTTGCTTCATTGATGGGATATGGTGATAAAGATTTTAGTAAAGGAATAAAACATAAAGTTTCAGGTTCTAAAATTATGATTGCTGGTATTCATAGTCCACTTGAGTATGAAGAAGAAAATATAAAGAAATTTGGTGTTCAAACATGTTCTCCAAGACAAATACAAAATGGTTCACAAGTTATAATTGATTGGATTAAAAGAGAAAATATTAAACATTTAGCTATTCATATTGATTTAGATGTTTTAAATGAATTATTTTTCCATTCTTTATATTTTAGCAGACCTGATGTTGACAAGAGTTCATTTGATGGTATTGCACAAGGTAAATTAAATATTTCTGATGTTATTAGTGTCACAAATTTAGTTAATGAACATACAGAAGTTGTTGGTATTACTATTGCCGAATATTTACCTTGGGACGCAATCAATTTGAAACATATGCTCGAAAAATTACCAATAATTGGTCGTAAATAGACATCATAAAACTTGTTAATAGTTTAGTTTAGTTCTATCTATATATATATATATATGTATATATATATATATGAATATAGATAACTTTTCAGCAATTTTTGACACAGGTTTGACATTTACTTACTAGAGGTGAATTATAATGTTAATTTGAAACATTGATGCAGCTATATAAGCGATGCCGCTGTATCATCATCAGCATCTATATATTATGCAAGTGTATACACGCATTGACATTTCAAAGATTTGAAAAATCCCACGAAAAACTGAAATAATAATAACATCTAAAGAAATAAACTGGAAAAGAGAGCAATGTAATCCCGCTAGTAAATAGGATATGTTTAATTATCCCACGCTATCATACATACACACATCGAGAATAAATGATTTAATCTCTGATTATATCTTTTAACAGAATACATTATATGAAATATTTACAGCCACGTATAGATAGATAGATAGATTGATCACCAAAATATTTGGAATCTTTAGTTGCAATGTCCGGATATTTGTGCGGTATATTCTGTATCCATAGTAATTTATTAGCTTGTTTGAATTCCACCTATATCCTATTTACTTCCTCTCTCTCTCTCTCTCTCTCTCTGAAAGAAACCCACAGTTTTCTCTCTCCTATATTTATTTATTTACATGCACACACCGCCCCACGCGTATTGAATAAATAAATTAATATTGTCATTTACGTAGTCTTTCTCTCTTTGCTCAACATCTGAAAATATATTTCTTCCTTTTCAGTGAACGGATAATAAATTATGCGTGATCAATTGTTCAATGATATGGAATAACTGAAAAATAATTAAATAATCACTGAAATTACTTTTTTTTTGACTTTAAGTGGAACAGGTAAGAAAGATGCACGTAGTGTATGTACTCATTTATCACCATCATCATCATTTGTTATGATAATCCTGCAATATGACACCTCTGAGACTGTAAGAGAGAACAAGCTGTACTATTGTTTTTTGCTGTTCTTTTTTAAGGGAAGAATATATGTGTTTCTCATATTGGTTATGTAGTTCTTGTAGTAAGAGTAGGAAGGAAAAAAAATGCTTTTCAATCTCGAAGAGAGTTGATGCCATACCAACATTATTTTTTTTATTTACTCTGTTTTGTCTTTTTAACTCTTGAGATCACTCGTTCTTGATTCTGATTCTTACTTTAAGATATATATATATATATCCATACTTCGGAATAAAAATTTTCTTCTGTATTTAACTGTCCTACATAATAGATATAAACAATAGAACTTCTTTTGCTATCTTTACATAGATACACATACACATATAGATACAGATATAGATATCTTTAGAAATGGTTGCTATTGCTGCTCAATTAACTGCTGAAGCCTATCCAAAGGTTCAAAGAAATCAAGATTTCAAAGTATTAAATGATGAAGATTTAAAATATTTTCATTCTTTCTTAAATGATGACGAAATCATTGAAGCTAATGGTGATGATCTGGTTACTTATAATCAAGATTGGATGAATAAATATAGAGGTCAATCCAATTTAGTACTTTTACCAAAATCTACTGAAAAAGTATCTAAAATTATGAAATATTGTAATGAACAAAAATTAGCTGTTGTACCACAAGGTGGTAACACCGATTTAGTTGGTGCTTCAGTTCCAGTATTTGATGAAATTATTTTATCTTTAAGACAAATGAATAAAGTCAGAGATTTTGATCCTGTCTCTGGTGCTTTTAAATGTGATGCAGGTGTTGTTATGAAAGATGCTCATCAATTCTTACGTGATAATGATCATATTTTCCCATTAGATTTACCATCAAGAAATGCTTGTCAAGTTGGTGGTGTTGTCTCTACTAATGCAGGTGGTTTAAATTTACTAAGATACGGTTCTCTACATGGTAACGTTCTTGGTTTAGAAGTTGTCTTACCAAATGGTGAAATCATCAGTAATATTGATGCTTTGAGAAAGGATAATACTGGTTACGATTTAAAGCAATTATTCATTGGTGCTGAAGGTACCATTGGTGTCATTACTGGTGTCTCTATCTTAGCTGCTCCAAAACCAAAGGCTTTAAACAATACTTTCATTGGTTTAGAAAGTTTTGATATTGTTCAAGATTTATTTGTTAAAGCTAAGAAAGAACTTTCTGAAATTTTATCAGCTTTTGAATTTATGGATAACGGTTCAATTAAATGTACCATTGAATATTTAAAAGATGAACCATTCTTATTAAAGAAAGAACATCCATTCTATGTGTTGATTGAAACTTCTGGTTCTAATCAAGATCATGATCAAGAAAAATTAAGTGCTTTCATTAAGAGTGCCCTTGAGGAAAAATTGATCTCTGAATCTCATATGGCTGCTAATATTGATGAATATAATAAAATTTGGACCTGGAGAAAATCCGTTCCACCTGCTTGTAATTCTTATGGTGGTATGTATAAATATGATATGTCCCTAAAATTAAAGGATTTATATTCTGTTTCTGATGCTGTCACTAAAAGATTAAATGCAGCTGGTTTGATTGGTGATGCTCCAAAACCTATTGTTGCCTCCGTTGGTTATGGTCATGTTGGTGATGGTAACATTCATTTAAATATTGCCGTTAGAGAATTTACTAAAGAAATTGAAGGTTTATTAGAGCCATTCGTTTATGAATATATTCAATCAAAGAAAGGTTCAATTAGTGCTGAACATGGTATTGGTTTCCATAAACATGGTCATTTACATTACTCCAGAAGTGAAATTGAAATTAGATTCATGAAGGAAATTAAGAAACATTATGATCCAAATGCTATTTTAAACCCATACAAGTACGTATGATAGATTGATATTTGTATGTTGTTTTACTTATCTTAAATATTAGGTACCAGTTATATAGATTTTATTATAATATAATACATGTAAAGAAAAAAAAGACCCAAAAAGAATGATGTTTTCGATCATTCTAGAGGTTAATTGTTGTTAAATGTCTTGAATTAAGATATCTTACTAAATTACGAAACGAATCAAAAAAAAACATTGATTTCAAAGTTGTAGTTTCCTTGCAATTTCAACTCCCTTGAGGTCAGTTTTTATTCTTACTAGTTTTAATTTATAAACAATTCTATTTTATTGAGCATATGGACCCTAATTTCATATATATCATATTACAAAACTAACATAGATATACATAGATATATATATTTTTTAATGGGTTTTTTTATTAATATAGGGGAATAAAAACGGCTTTAATATTGATAGTACCGAAAGGCGGTTACATACGTTCATCGCCTCTTCTTTAAAATATTGGGGTAAAAATTGAGTTACTACAAGTAAAAAAGGGTTACAACAAAGTGAAAAGTACATAACATTGATCAATCATTTAAATATAAATACTTTGAGAAGGATCGTATTGTGATTTATCTGAACTTCGTTAATTTTTTTCCTTTCGTAGAAATATATATATTTCTTTATTTTATTTTTTCTATTTTAGCGTTACTTGAACTAATCAATAAAATTAAAAAGTAAAAATGGTGACGAATCCAAAATCTTTAGAAAATGTGTCATTACGTATTCCCAAAGATTATGTAGGTCAATTAGACGTGACAACAACTTACAAAAATATTTTGACACAAGATGCATTAAGATTTATTGTATTACTTCATCGAAAATTTAATAATCGAAGGTTACAATTGTTGGAAAATCGTACTATTTTACAACGTAAAATTAATGATAAAAGTTATCAATTTGATTTTTTACCAGAGACTGCCGCAATTAGAAATAATCCAATTTGGTCTGGTCCTACAATTCTTGCCCCAGGATTAATTCAAAGACATACAGAAATTACAGGCCCACCTGTTAGAAATATGGTTATTAATGCATTAAATTCCGATGTAGATACATATATGACTGATTTTGAGGATTCATTATCACCAACATGGTCTAATTTAATTGATGGTCAAATTAATCTTTATGATACCATTAGAGAAAAAGTAGATTTTACTAATGAATCAGGTAAAAATTATTCAATGACTAAAACATTTATTGAATCGCCAACTCTTATTATGAGACCAAGAGGTTGGCATATGGAAGAAAAACATTTATATGTTGATGGTGAACCAATTAGTGCATCAATATTTGATTTTGGTCTTTATTTTTTCCATAATTGTAATGAATTAATTAAAAGAGGTAAAGGACCATATTTTTATTTACCAAAGATGGAACATCATCTTGAAGCGAAATTATGGAATGATATTTTTAATGTATCTCAAGATTGCTTAGAGATTCCAAGAGGTACCATTCGTGCAACTGTATTAATCGAAACATTTCCAGCTGTATTTCAAATGGAAGAAATAATTTTTCAATTAAGACAACATTCGAGTGGATTAAATTGTGGTAGATGGGATTATCTTTTTTCAACAATTAAAAGATTAATGTCCTATAAAGAATATATTTTACCAAGTCGTGAACAAATTACTATGGAGACGCCATTCATGGATACTTATGTATCATTATTAATCAATACATGCCATAGACGTGGAGTACATGCGATGGGTGGTATGGCTGCACAAATTCCAATTAAAGATGATTCTGTTAAGAATAATAATGTTATGATGAAAGTCATTCGTGATAAGACTCGAGAATTAAATAAAGGTCATGATGGTTCATGGATTGCACATCCTTCTCTTGCCAAAATATGTAATCAAGTATTCCATTCAATGGGGACAAAAAATCAATTATACAAGATCCCAACAAATTTTTCAATTAATGAAAATATTAAATTGTTATTATTACCAAACAATGAATTAGGCAATATTAAGATTACTGAAGAAAACATCGAATATTCAATTAAAGTAACATTATTATACATGGGATCATGGTTACAAGGTAATGGATGTGTTCCAATTGATAATTTAATGGAAGATGCCGCTACTGCAGAAGTATCTAGATGTCAATTATACCAATGGGTTAAACATAAAATTCAAACGACTAATAATAAAATTATTACAATTTCATTCGTCTCTAAATTGATTAAAGATGAAGCCGATCGGTTATATAAACAATACAATAATAATACGGTGTTTTATACAGTGGCTAAATTATTATTAAAGGATCTTTCATCTGAACAAACCCACGAATTTTTAACGGTATTATTATATGATGAGCTAATAATCACAGAAAATCCAACAATAGAGTCTCACGAACAAGAATTTCCAAGTAAACTATAAAACAATAAAATAAATCAAAAATAGCACTGTATATGCCTCTCCATATAATGAATAAATAAATAAATAAATAAATAAATAACTAAATATCAGCTGTTAACGTATATCTTTCTTTTCTCCCTCATCCTACATATCCTTCAAGCACAATGAGAAAAAAAAAGTAGAACTTACAACCAATTAAAAACTCGGACCTGATGCCTTTAAAACCCCGATCTTCAAACTACTATCTATTATCCCGATGTCCTCGAAGTGAACATAGAGATTGAATAAAAAGGCCATAAAGACATGCATTCAAAATAGCTTCAAACCTCCACTTCCACCTACCCCCGCGATACAGGCCCCACAGAGGTGCATCACAGGTACCGTCAGCTTCTCTCTGTCTCTGTCTACTGTATAGCTGTAGAATTAAAAATCATTGTATTTATATCTCTCTCTCTACTCCGCATGCACCACCGACCCACGAGAATACCCGCCTGCTCTGTCTGTTAATCTCTCCGCATAATTTTATTTTTAAAGGGAAGAGCCCGCCATTTGCCACGAACAATATAAACATGCAGAGTTTGAGACAGTGAAGGACCGGAGAACAGCGGGCCGTTAATTATAGGTACAATAAAATTAAATGTTTTAATAGTAAAAGAATAGAAGTCTCGGAACGATACTCTCCATTTTTTACAATGGATCAAGATGGGTTAATATATGGATATACAAACAATAATTAACTTCATTATCTCCATATATTTTATTGCAACAATAAAGATTATACCCACCCGCTTTAGCGAACGGGAAGCACATGATTAATGGAATTAAGTATTTTTTTTTGTAATAATGCTTTCATATATAAATGAACGATTATATTACCTATATATCTAATCAATAACAAATTATTATTTTGTATTCCATGTAACGTCCTATTATACACTCTTTCTTGTTGTTATTATTATTATAATTATAAAAAGATTTATTTTACAATACAATATCCTAACGTAAAATTTATTTTCATATCAATATCATACAGTAGATAATTGATCGATCCACATCGCTACCTCATCTCATCATCTCTCTTTTTAAACAAGACAGAGAAATAAAGAATAGTACACTGAACTCATAACTTACAACCAACTTCAGTTATTTTACTACTTCACCCTTTTACACCTGTGTGCGTATATCTGCTTATCTCCGTATACTCACCCCCCACTCACACCAACTCACTCCTCTGTGTCTTCCTTTAGATTGCTCTCCCCTGTTAATCTCTCTGCCTGTCTTGCCACCTCGCCTCGATTCAATTTCGGAACATTTTTTTCATTTTAGCAGAAGAAAGCGAGAACAGAAAGAATATAGTCATTAAGACGTATTAGGTAACTCTTCATTGAAAAAAAAACAAGGATTGCTGCTGCAATATTAATTAGGGTAGCTCCGATTCGATTTTAAAATATTTTCAACTGGATCAAATAAAAAAAAAAGAGAAGCATATTATATATAAAGGAAAACCTTTTTTTTCTTCTATTATTACTATTATTAAAGAATGCCTGCAACAGAAATAACTCCACAGAGACGATACAGTACATTTTCTATTAACAGCTATCGGTCAAGTAATAGTTCTGTTAATAATAATTCAAATTCTGCTATTACAACATCAAGATCAAGAAAAAATAGTTTTGGTATTTCATCAATATTTGGTTCATTAAATTTTTCATCAAATTCAAATTCACGTAATAATTCAAATAAAATGATCTCTACAACACCAAGAGATTTTAATAATGAAAATACAAATAATTTGAATCGTAATGATTTAAATCATAATATTCCTGCTGTATTAGAACCATCACAAGTACAATATTTAACATCCCTGAATAATAATAATAATATTATTAGTTCATCAGTATCCAATTCACCATCATCAAATCCATTTGCCTCATATTCAAATTATACTACAAGTATAAATTCGGAATTACCTTCTGTAAGACGTGAACCATTTAAATTACCAGAAGAATATAATTTACCAATTTTTTTACCATTAAAATCTGTTGGGAAAGATCAAACTGTTACAGATTTTACATTAACAAGAAATAATTCAGATAGTAAACATGCAGATTTTTCAACTTTTCACTTTGTTAATGCACATTCTGAAACTATTGCAAGTATATATCCTCCTGTATCATGGAATATAACATCAGATGAACAACAACAATTATCATCTCATGAAAATCCACCTTGTAAAAATATTAAAACTATTGATGGCTTATATTCAATTAGATTAACTCCATTTATTGATCCCTCAATTGATGAACAAGAGCAAGCTGATTTTGTTAGATCACAAGGCTTGTATTTTGATCCAATTATCAGAACCGCAGGACCAGAATCACAACTTGTTATTGCAAGATATATGAATAGTTTTGCAACAATGCATAATTACAATGATTTAAAATTAAAAGAATATTTTAAACCAATTTTATTTAAATCTAATGTTGTTTCAAGATTACACGGTTGTGTCAAAGTTGATAGAAATGGTCAATGGTATATTAAGGATTTTAATTCATCGAGTGGTACATTTTTAAATCATAAACGTATTTGTTCTTCAAATGATAAAGATAATGATATTTTAATGGATGGTGGTGATCATTTATTACATGATGGTGATGTAATTCAATTAGGTATGGATTACAATGGTGGTAGAAATCAAAAATTTCGTTGCGTTAAAGTTAAAGTTGAATTAAATTTATCATGGAAAATTAAATCAAGAAATTATAAAAAAATGGGTCTTGAAAAATTGCATACTTTAAACACAATGAATTTATTATCAAACAATGCTAATTCTTTAGAATCATGCTCAATTTGTCTTGAAGAATTAGATCCATGTCAAGGTATATTCATCTCACCATGTAGTCATTCATGGCATTTTAATTGTATTAGAAGATTATTATTATCAAATTATCCACAATTTATTTGTCCAAATTGTAGAGCCACAACAGATTTAGAAGCATCAATGGATAATTTAGAAATTCAATCAACATCACCATTGTCCTCTAGTGGTAAAAACACTCCAGTGCAGGACACAGGACGTGCACATAGTCCATTAACAAGGGATATGTTGTAAATTCATTATTAGTCATTCTTTAATTCCAGATTTGTTGGATTTTTTTTTTTTCACTCTCTTTCTCTAACTAAAATATACATATAAATATTTTTATATATTGTAAGTCACTGTTAAAAGTTTATTTTAATTTTGGAACTTGGTATCTTCTCTCTTTCTTTTTTATGTGCCTGAATTAGTAATTGATGCTACTTGGTTGTAGCTCTTTCAAATATTTAACACAATAAATAGTACTCTGTTAATTTAATGGTGTTCATTTGTCGCAATTTTAGGAAATTATATTAGGAGCGATCTGTATTAAGATGTAAGGAATTTTTTACTTTATTATTTTAATTATGAATAACATTTTTATTGTTAAAAGTCAATTGCTTGAAAAACAAGACCATCCTTGATATTTTGGAAAGATTCAAACGTAAATCAATCAAACTATTTAAGTAAGTAAAAGGACAACTTGGTAACGTTTCGAGCACTATTATCCTATACTGTTACCTCCTGATTCATTTATTTGGAATCCATTACATAAAGAGTTGTCATTTGCATAAATAAACAATAGTCCGATCTATTGCCTTCAGTAAGGGTATATTATGATATAACTACATTAATTATCTGTATTTTTACATTTCATTATTCTAAAACCCATAACTAGGACTATTAATATCTAATGATTATATTTATATATCTTATCGTATTTTCAAGTATATTTAAAACTTAACTAAAGTTTAACTATTAGACCAATCATAAGCATTAGACATCTAGAAGAGGGAAAAATGAAATTTCTTATACTTCTAAGTAAAACAAGCAAATAAACAAACAGAAAAACATGAGGTTTTTAACAAGCACATTTGCACCAAAAATTGATATCTCAAGGCGAGAAAACACTTCCAAAATGGAACAATTTTGAAATTTAGAAAACTTCACAACCAGATGAAAAGAATATTGGTTGTGGCGACAGCAGTTTATTCCTTGTGCAAGAAACTAATAAAGAAATTCCGGGTGACACAAATTGGAACCCAAATTCTGAAAATGAATTCTGCCATGCAAAATGATTCCCAAGCTTCAATTTTGAGGTGTCACCCTGAACAAAGGTTAGAGGTCGATAAACTGAGGGCCGTAAGTAGTGAGTAAATAAAATATATAAATTATACGCATTTGAAACTGCTAAAACTGGGGTTTTTTACGTGCTCATTCTCAGCTTAAAACCCATCTTGAAGGCGAGAAGCATTGGGGCAAAATCGTCATTTATTCAATTTTTCGAGAGGGTCCCCAACCGGTATGTCTCCCAACTGAAATATAAAAACAATTGCAAGTGACACAAAATCAAACCAAAAAATCAAAAACGAGTTCTGCCATACAAAATATTTCCCGAGCTTCGATCTTGAAAGGCCACCCTGACTTGGGCTCTGGGAATTGTAAACACATTGTTGGACTGGTTTACAGATGCGGCAGGTATGGTAATGGCAAGCTCCCCACTTTTCAAAACTGGGGTGCTTTCCGGGTACCCCAAGATTATTTGCCATGTGGGTGCTACAGTTTTTGTAGGGTAATTACAATTATTGTCTGTAATTTCTATTAGTTATTCCTTTAAGTCAATTATTTTAGTAACTACTAGAATAGTAGAGGTCTGGTTTTTAATTATTTAGTTATATGAGGATGATTATAAATATAATTCTACATTGCATTATTACTTACATATTATTCGATTTTTGCAGAACTGCATTTGGTATATTTTTGTTTAGTTTAATGAAAGGCTCTAGAATAGAGCATTCTCTATTGTAAGAAGATACCTTAAATAAGTTTCTTATTTTTATAATCGACATGGGTAGTTATGAAGTCAGTATCACATATATGCGTTGTGAAGGTAAATTGGAAAAGCAAGTGGGCGTTTAATTTATTCGTTAAGAACCAAGTAATAAGAAGTGCAATTATCTCTATTCTATATGTTGATTACTTCAGGTCAAGGTGTATCACAATTTACAAACTTACTGTCATTTTTATTTATTAATTTTGCTTGCACGTATATACTATATATATATATATTATTAAAAAGTGAATGGAAATAATTAAAATAGTAAAAATTGGGAAATGAATAATGTTAATGGAGCAAACTAGGCAAAGAGAACAGAAAATAAGAAAAAAGGAGAAAAAAGGGAAATTTAGGCGACACAAAAAAGAATCAATTTTAAAAAAAAGAGGTTCCACATACAAAGAGAGAGCATGCAAAGAATAGAAATAATAGATAAATGAGCATGTGAAAGAATAGCAAGTCAAGAAGAGCATGTGAAATTATAAAAGAAGGAGAATACGGGAATGTGAAAGTATTAAAATGTTAAGATATAATCAATCAGCATGTGAAAGAGAAAACAAATGCAGAAAGAATTGCATGTGAAGATTATAAAATCCTATATAGTGAGAATCTGAAAGATTTAGTGGCAAGATTCACTTATATTTTTTGGTGACGCAATAAAAAACCTTCAAGTTTGAAGAATTTACATACATTTGATTCGGTAAGAGGCATGTCAGAAAAACAACTGGTTAATTTTCTGTGTAGAAAATAATATTATATAAATGTATGAAAAAATGTAAAAGGTACTCAATTATTACAGAAACTTGCTAACTGATATCAATGATGTATAATTGCAATATATCATTTTCATATTAAAAGCTTTTCCCTGCCTGGTTATTATATTGCATGTAATGGCTCGGTTGATTGATATACTCAATACCTAATGGATATTTGATTTTATTCGATTTTGTACTCTCTTATCAAATTCAATCAATCTTACTAAAGACTGGCAAAACATAATGTTAAATTATGTACTTCTAAGTCAATAGAGTCACCAAGCAAAGTCGTGAATATTTAATAATCAATATATTAAAGTTTTGTCGCTAAAAACATCCAACAATGAAGACGAATATCATATATATATATATTTCCGATAAACATTAACCTAAAAATAAAGTTATTATCAATAGATCACTATTATCATTCATTGATCAATCTCAAAAGTACATCTTGTGCTTGTTCAGCCCCATTTCCATTTTTGAAAAACTGATGATCACCATCGATAATTCGCCATTCTACTGTTTTTTTAGAGAGTTTTGTTAGCTGGCGTTGCCAATTACCCCAAATGGGCGAAATTTTAATAAATTGCTTGGAACTTACAACACTCAATTTGATGTCCTGAAGTTTCAAATTGGAGGCCAAAATATCATTATAACTTATCAATGAACTAGACAAAGATTCGAGCACTTTATTCCTAATAAAGCTTCCTTCTTCCACCATATCTTTTCCAAATATTCTACTCATAGACCCACGGTGTGAAACGAACCACGAAGTCTGCAGATTCAGTCCAAATGCAGACCAAATCCCATACAACCAAGTTTGAATAGTATATCTCTTTCCAATTTCCTTTTCAGGAATTCCATAATCTATACGATCCCCTTTGTCGTTACCACCATCTGGATTCTTAGGATCCTGGCCGTTACCATCACCTGGGAATATCCTCCTCAAATAATGTTTCAATAGGAGTTCTTCATTCCAGCCCTCAACTAATAACAGGCCAGAACAAATGTCTCTATTATTAGCAGCAAACACCCTGGCAACCAAAGCACCATAATCATATCCTACGACTACAAATTTATCTTTTAATTGTAATTCTTCAACCAGTGCATATCTTAAAGCTTCTGCGGATTTTTTTAAAGATGAAGGAGCACTTATAGAATCACTTAACCCATACCCAAATCTATCGTAGACACAATACCTTTCTATCTTACCAAGATTATATAACTCCTCTATCCATGTACCAGATGTGTAGGAGGTATCTTCACCACCATGCTCATATAAAACTATAGGTTGGTGGGATAAATTATCAGATGCCGAGGAAGGGTTTATATCGACTCCATGACACGCAATATGTAACTTCTTAGTATGTGCTTGATCGGCCCATACAAACATGCTTTCCTCTTTATTTACATGTCTCAATGCATTACTGAGGTCGATTGAATGTAAAAAGGTAGTAAATAACAATAACAAAAGTAAGATTAGAGATATGAACTTAACTATGTTACGGAAAGCTATTTCTATCCATTCTGTCATTGTATGTTTGTTTTGAGCAGTTGGAGGTGATAAATTCTTGATGTACCTTCTCAGATTGTAAGCCTGGAAAATACCTAGGGAAAATGTCAAAGCTGTCCATAAATGGATCACAATGGAGATATTATTAATTCTTTGTCTTGTATATTTCACGAATAAAATAACCAACAAGTTCAGTAGCGGCAAAATTGTCAATGCAACGTTTAAATGAAGGTCAAATGGTGAAAACAGACCAATTTTATTAAACCAAAGATTGAAACAGTTTCCAATTAAGGATATTAATATCAAAATAAAGTTATTAAAACTTGCAAGTCTAGAGGTCGGTAAAATCTCAAAGAAAAATTCCGAAACGAACATTATAATCAACAAAAGAGTGTTCAGTAATAAAACAATGTTTAATACAGACTTCCAATTACTTAAGAATACAATGTAATTCTTATGTACTTGGAACCTACCATTGTTGGCATAAAATTCAGCATCTAAGTATTCATCATCTTCAGGAGGTGCATTTTCAATGGTATTATAATCTTCTGGATGTAATAATCTGTTCCTCCCCTTCGTCTTCGTTTTCTTCTTCTTCACCAACAATGGGTCACCTTCTCCTGGTGTACCTCCAATGTTCCTACGTGATTGTTGAATATTTTCTACATCACTATCCGATGAATCAGACTGCTCGATAGGCGGGTCTTGTCTAATATGGGATGCCTGCTGTGCAGTATGTTCAATCTGCACATCTGAAGATAATGGGGTTGCTCCCTCTCTTGTATTCGACATATTAATATAATATAAAATTGTAATTAACCAGTCCCGAAGGTATTGTTTGTAAACATCTACTATTTTATACCAAAACCTAGCTTAACCACATAATTAACCGAGAACTACATTTCATTCCTTTATATTGCTGAAATAAAATTTATTCCCTTATATTACCGAAAAATCCCCTTTATTTTTTTGTCAACTTAATCGTAGATGGGTCACTTTCTGAAGGCAAAAAATAGGTGACGGAGCTGGCAATACACATCAAAAATATACTTTTAATAACTATTCTCTAAACATCCAAACTCCGCGAATATCGTTACCAATTCAATTATACACTAGTATCAAATGAATTGAAACATTATTCCGTTATTTATTTATTATATAGTTACAAGGGCACATATATACACTCTTTTATATCTATCTATCTTTTGAAACTATTTTTTGTAATTGACAAACTTAAAATCCACCCCATTTTCATCTAAAAGTTGTCCATTCGGTTGATCATTTTGTAGGAAGTTTGAATCCATTGGTATGTCTCTTATGTTTGAGCCTCCTTGAATTTGTGGATCCCCAACATTAACAACATGATTCGTAAAATCCATATTTATAGATCCTGGTATATTATTTTGTAAATTATCCTCAGAAGGTATTCTATTGTTCATGGATGATTGCTGTTGCTGAATTTGTTGTTGTTGGTCAACAGGGTTCGGTTGGTATAAACGGTATGCCGGAGATATACTGGAATTAACAGGTTTCTCTTCAATTATCGTAGTTTCTTTTTCTTTAATAGGACTCGAAGAACTCGACCTATCCCTTCCTCTACCTTTGATACCCTTATTAGAATTTTTATATAATGATGCAAAATATTCCAGCATATCCCTTTCTTCAGGAGCAATAATCTCATTTGGATCTAGTTTAGCCAATCTTTCTGTTAATTTACTCAAAGCAGATAAATGAAATCTATTTTGATGTGCCTTCATATTTCCTAATTGAGTAAACGTTTTATAGCAATTATCTAGCCTGCAAACAAACGGTCTTAATTTTTGATGTGTCAGTACATGTGCTGCAAGGTTACCCTTTCTTGAAAATCTTTTGCTACAAATCTCACATTCATACGGTTTTTCACCAGTGTGAAGTCTTAAATGAGTTCTTAAATTACCACCTTGGGTGAATCTTTTTTTACAATATTGACATTCAAATGGTTTATATCCTATATGAGATCTAATGTGAACCTCCAAATGAGTTAACTGAGTGAAAAATCTGTGACAGATTTTACATTCATGTTGCTTTACACCATGTGATCCGACAGGCTTCTCTACACCACCAACAATCTCGTTACTTGGAGGCAATATATCAGAGTTTGACCCAATTACTAATTTCCCATCCTTTGTTGTTTCAACTTTCTCTGTAACACCCTTCTTTCTTGCATCAATCATCAGCATTAATTCATCAATCTTCGTCACCCCCAACAAATCTCTAGCTTTCTTTTCACTTTCCTTTAGTAAATTTTCCTCTGCGACAGTTTTATCTATACCATGGTTCTTAGTAATTTTCTTTAAGACGTCCTCAAAGGAAGATTTTTTATCTATTTTCTTTTCATTTCCTTTCCTCTTAGGCTTCTTGGTGTTATTATTATCAGAATAATTTTCAGGAACTAAACTGCCATTACCATTTGAAGGTGATTTTTGTTTTCTTTTCTTTGGTTGTTTTTTCGTTTTATTCGTTTTAGCCGTTCTCTTCTTGTTATTGGCTAAATCTCTGCCACCTATATCAGAACCGGAGTTCATCACAAGTTGTTCTTGCTTGACAACATCTCCAGTGGTTTGGATGCCGTTAATACTACCTATTGATTGACCTTGAGGTATCATATTTGGATTATTAACTATAATATCTCTGTTAATGGGAATACCATTTGGTCCAGTTTGCTCATTTCCAATAAAATTCATCATAGACGAAAATCTTGATAGGCTTGAAGGGAGTGTTGCAACATCCGCTGGGAATGGTGGTTTTTGAATATCTCTAGGTATTGGACCATTATGCTGAACCATTTGATTGGACAATGGTGAACTAACTGGTTGATTATTAACATCCAACAGTAACTTTATGGATGAGTTACGTCTCCTCATATCAAAATCAAAATCGTCCGTACCAAGCTTCAGAGAGTTTTTTCTTGAATTATTTCCACTGAAAAATGAATCCAATCCTAAATTTTGGTTAATATTATTGGCTCCTGGAGCAAAATTATTTGCGATGTTGTTAACAACATTACTCCCATTTGTGTTTCTAATAAAATTTTGATTTTGGAATTTTGGAGGAATTGTTGCGCCGTTGTTATTGGCGTTTGATGCTGGGAGAATTGTAGGAGGTTTCATATTTATCGGAATAGAGCCTCTCTTGTTACTTTGTGTATGTAATATATCCATATCTGTACCATCTATTGGAAGTACTGTGGAACCTCTGTTGGATGGAGGAATTGACATTGAGTCTGCTCTGTTTTTTTCATTATTGACAGAACTTAATTTGCCGGCAGAAAACGACAAAGGCTTGAATTTTGGTGCACTATTTACATCTAATGGATCAATATGGTTATTTGCAATTTTTGTTTGTAAAGGATTCGATATATGTGGTATATTATGTTGTGATGTTGGTGGTGTCCACATATTATTGTTAACAATAGAGTAACCTCTTGCAATTTGGGAAAGATCCTGTGATCGTCTCTTTGTGGAATCATTTATATGTGGACCATGTTCATTATTTATCATCGTTACACTTCCGTTTGTACCATCTGCAATATTTAAGAATGGAGCTATAGAGGCATCAGTTGAAAATCGTGGTAAATTAAAAGTATTGAACATCGCGTTTATAGAGTCATTTCTTTGATTTGATCGTTGTATTGGTGGGTATATTAGACTGGAATCTCTTCTATTTGCAAGGTTATTAAGATTTGTACCAGAATTTGAATTTATATTGCCTGCCATTATAAAATTGTTAATAGAGCCGTTATTATTTCCGGTTATATTATTGGCGTTATTGCTATTTTGATGGGTATCATTATCATTAGAAACTTTATTAAATTTATTTGAAGTTACTCTTTCATTTTTGTTTTCTGATATATTCTTCGAATTTGGTCCTAGTAAATCAGCCGACGAAGGATCAGTCATCGGTGGTCTTATTAGTCTATTGATTATCTAACCTTATTGGTGATATGTCAATTTGTTATATTACAAAAGAAGAACTATCTCCTTTTTACTTGAATTGATCCTTTTCGTTTGTTTGTTGGTTGTTGTTTTTTTCTGATCTTATTTTACAGAATCTTTTAAACAATGAATAGAGCTCGAGATCAAAGAAGTATAATTAATAATGGAATTTCAATATTAACTAATAACAATTACTATTTTTTCCAGTTCTTTCTCTTCTCTTTCTTTTTTTAATTTTTTATGTTTTTTTTGTTTTCAATTTTCTTTTTTTTTTTTCCTACTAAATCTTCTTCTATTTCTTCTTAACTTAATAATTTCATCTTGTCTGTTAGTTTGTTTTTCTTGCCAATGACTTTCTTTGCCCACGTCTTTTTTCTGCACTATTGTTTAAGAAGCAATTCATCCCACACATTGTTTTGCTGACTGTTTTTTTTGTTTCTTCTGCCTATCCTTCGCCTTCCACTGATTCAAGAAATCTTTACAATGTACTTTCGAAATATTTCTATGACAGACCCCCAGAAACATTTAAACAACGGTATGCATGTTTCCCCAGAAATGTACGCACACAGTTCTTTGAGTACAACCAATTTCCTACGTAGATCATGCACGTACGAATCAAAAATAAAACAAAATGAAATGAAAAGCCAAAAAAAAAAAAAAAAGAGAATATAACGATTCCCTTCGTGATTTATTACATTTCCGTTAAAATCAATGCCAAAACTCAAACAAAAAGTAAAATCAAAATAGATTTGTCTGATTATTATTCTTCTTGTACAACTTTTTTTGTCTACGTGAAAATTCTCCGTAACCATTAGGGCTGGATTCCAGGGTTGGTTATAAGATCAAATATTTCTCTGTTTCATTCCCCCCCCCCACCTCACCCCCACGCCAAGATTAAGAAAGACAAACGAACTAAGTAAGAGAGAAATTAATTTTATTTCTTCTTTTGTATGTATCTCTCTTAGTAACATGTATATCTCCACTGAAATTGTTTCGATTGTTGTTACTACAATATATTCAAATAACAGAGATAGCTAGCAGGTTCAGTTAAAAACAACGACAGGATATATATTGATATTGATATTTGAAAAATCAAACTTCTTGTGATACCGAACTTCGTATGCAATATCTTAAAGTATAATTATCTAATTAGTAATAATGGTGCCATTTCTCAAGAAATATATTAATTTTCTGTAGCATTCTGTATAATCACAATAGCTTCGAATATGGGCTCGTTTATGTTCTTACTTTAAATATTAATTTGTATAATTGATTAATATATCCTTCCAAATTTATTTTCCCTTCTCTTTTAGTTATTTTTTCAAAAAAATGTATTAATGAATGAATTCCTAATCAAGTACGACTGAAACAAATATATGATTAATTGAAAATCGTATTAACTAGATGCAAATGTAGAAAAATTCCAAATTCATTAATTTAAATCATACATATTTGAAGAACAACAACTCAATTTAGGTTGCAACTTTGAATACAACTTGCAATAATGAATTGATATATACCTATACATATATGCATGATTGACCAGAAACAAAGTTAGCTATATCAGTGCTTCGTAGAAAGTCTCTATATATATAGGTGTATCTTATTATCTAATTGAAGGTAAAATTTTACTTCGCGGAATGAGAGGTTTTCTGGGCGGCTAATTCATTTTGTTTGATCATGCCTAAATATATAATTACATATAAATGATTGAATGTGAAGAATATTAAGTTGGTAGTCCTTTTTTTTATTATTATAGCAAAGATGTGTAATCTCATTAGTGAAAGATTAAAATTAGGGACCAAGCTTATTAAAATAACATTTTATCCTAAACTTTTCTTTTTTGTATATAAATGCCTTTTTGTCTTCCATGTTTTAATTTTTTTCAATTTCTTGAGGTAACTATTTTTATCTGAAGCATAGTTTTTTATATACCTATCCATAAAGCCATATCGAATTTCCAAATATTGTGTTATTCTAATAGCACAAGTGACACTGTTTTCGATAATTCTCCCAAGAGTAGGTTATCCTTTCAATTGGGCTATTTTTGGAAAATGGATGGACCATTTAATATTCATCCCAATAGATGAAAAGCACTACCGCGAATAAAATATCAAGAATATCTTTATATTTGTTTAACAAAATCAACGGCTTTATCTCTATTGCCCTCTTGGGTTCCCTTGAGGTCATTTAGATCAATAAATATTTGTTCGAAATTTTGTTAGGCTCCTCTCGAAAACGATATACTACGAAAATTGTGGTTATTTTATTTATTTTGTTTTGAGATATGTATCTTGTTCAATAGCAAAATGAGTTGGTTGCATTCCTAAATTGCATTAGACAGTTTAGAAAAATGTTTGTAAGTTATTTGTTTTAGGTATTTTTTAGTTGAGTTTCCAGAAATAATATATTTTCAATTCCGATTCTTTAATCCAATTTCTAACCCCAATTTCGAAAGATTCGAAACAAGTTAATTTACGTGTATCGAATATCATGCGCCTAATTCAAAGAAAATGATATCTAATAGTCGTAAATGTTCATAGCTTGGACAATTTTATTTCCCCTCCCTACTCCTTGGCCAGTAATCTGACTAAAACTCTATATCTGCCTATTAGATATTCAAGTAAAGTTGTTAGCTTCTCTATTATATTATTAATGAATATTATCGATTTAATAACATAAATTGTAAACTGGTCTCCCGGCCACCCACAAAATTCTATTTCTAATCAAAAGATTACTTTACAATTATATAACAAGATTCACTCCATTTGAAGTCATAATCACTATTATTTAAGAATAATCACCGATTCATATTAATACATTACAATCGAACTAATTGTTTTTTTAGACAAATAAGGTAAATCCCATTAAATATATATATTAATTGATTTAAGTTTGAGAAATTTATATCTTTAATTTATACAATATTTAATAAAAGTGTTTAAAATTATCATGTCCCACGACCTCATCGATTTACCCTGTAATATCAACTGTTTTAATTTTTTTTTGTAATTTCCCGTCTTTTTAATTTCCCTTCGCAGTTTTGTCTGTCACTACGGGACAGAATATAATATGAAGTTAAAGAAGAAACCAGGAAAAAAAAATAGAAAAATTTATTATGTAACAATTTCAAGCTATTAAATTTATGAGATGAGCTTAGTTGCTGATACTTATTGAAAAGTTTATATAAATATATATATTACACTCATTTTGAATATTATTTCGTATTGAATTAAAATAATCAACCACTCTAATATTAATTAATTACAATATGTCTATTGAAAACAAGAAAGTGACCAGTGATAATGAAGATGTTGATATGACATCAGAAGAAACTGTAAACACAACTGAACAAATCAAGGAAGAACAACAACAAGAGGAAGAAGAGGAAGAGGAAGAGGAAGACCAAGTTGATCGTGAAAAGATAAAAATTTTACCTCAAGCTACTTCTGAAGACGGTACTAGTGCTTCATTCCAAATTCTTGAAGAAGATCATACATTAGGTAACCCACTTCGTTATATCATTATGAAGAACCCACAAGTTGAATTCTGTGGTTACTCTATACCACATCCTTCTGAGAACTTGCTAAATATAAGAATCCAAACTTATGGTGATATCACAGCTGTAGAGGCTCTACAAAAAGGTTTAACCGATTTGATGGATTTATGTGATGTTGTTGAAGAAAAATTTACCGATAGGATTAAACAACTTTAGAATCAGATAAACAAGAAAAAAAAGAGATATCATTACTGTAAACGATTGGAAAATCGTAATATTAAATCAAAAAAGTTATTAATGGATCATTCATATATGTTCCGTACCGCATACGACATACAAATTCTACATAAATGAAAAGTATAATAATAACAAAAAGATAAATTCATTTAATGAACCTTTTTGGTGTTATTCTTTTAAAACCCTTTAATAGCTATTTATGTATATTAAAAATTATAATTATATTTTAACTCTAGGTTTAACTTGTAATATGATCCAATGTTTACCCTAACTTTTCATTAAGGCAACACCGAATTGCTTAATCTATCTCTGACAACCTTTCAAAGTTAAGTTAAACATCACCTTCTACGAACTGAGCGTTTGTTTTCAAGTATTTGAAGGTTTTTTTAATTTAATTTTTTTTTTTCAATTTCTCTTCTTTCTTTTTCTACTGAAGGGAAAAAGCGCAGCAACTCATCTCATCGCAAAACCCAAAAAAGAAAAAAAATAAAGTGAAAATTTTTCACAGCTATCATAAAATTTTAATTTTTTACTCTCATCGGTTATATAAATAACCTCATCTCGAACAACTTAACTCTTTCAACCTTAAAATTAAGAATATTTATAAATCTTAATTTTTTCTGTTAATATTGTGAAAATAACAAACAAAGAACTACATATAACTATAATGTCTTACGGTAGAGATCAACAATATAACAAATCCAATTACGGTTCTAGAGGTGGTGACTTCCGTGGTGGTAGAGGTTCCGACAGAAACTCTTACAACAACAATAACGGTGGTAGTTACGGTAACAACGGTGGTTTCGGTGGCCGTGGTGGCAATGGTGGCCGTGGTGGTCGTTTCAACGAATCCGTTGAACTTGTTGCTCCAAATTGGGATGTTGAATTACCAAATTTACCATCCTTTGAAAAGAACTTCTATGTTGAACATGAAAATGTCAGAAACAGAGATGATTCTGAAATTGCTCGATTTAGAAAGGAAAATGAAATGACCATTACTGGTGATAATATTCCAAAACCAATTACAACTTTTGATGAAGCTGGTTTCCCAGATTATGTTTTAGAAGAAGTTAAGGCTGAAGGTTTTGAAAAACCAACTGGTATCCAATGTCAGGGTTGGCCTATGGCTCTTTCCGGTAGAGATATGATTGGTGTTGCTGCTACAGGTTCCGGTAAGACTCTATCTTACTGTTTACCAGGTATTGTTCATATCAATGCTCAACCTCTACTTTCTCCAGGTGATGGTCCAATTGTTTTAGTCTTGGCTCCAACCAGAGAATTAGCTGTTCAAATTCAAACTGAATGTTCTAAGTTTGGTCACAGTTCTAGAATCAGAAACACCTGTGTTTACGGTGGTGTTCCAAAGGGTCAACAAATTAGAGATTTAACTCGTGGTTCCGAAATTGTTATTGCTACTCCAGGTAGATTAATTGATATGCTTGAAATTGGTAAGACTAACTTAAAGAGAGTTACTTACTTAGTTTTGGATGAAGCCGATAGAATGTTAGATATGGGTTTCGAACCACAAATCAGAAAAATTGTTGATCAAATCAGACCAGATAGACAAACCCTGATGTGGTCTGCTACTTGGCCAAAGGAAGTCAAGCAATTGGCTAGTGATTACTTACATGACCCAATTCAAGTTCAAATTGGTTCTTTGGAACTTTCAGCTTCTCACAACATTACACAAGTTGTCGAAGTTGTTTCCAACTTTGAAAAGAGAGACCGTTTGAACAAACACATTGAAATTGCTTCCCAAGATGCTGAATCTAAGATGTTGGTCTTCGCTTCTACCAAGAGAACTTGTGATGAAATCACTACTTATCTAAGAGAAGAAGGCTGGCCAGCTCTTGCCATTCATGGTGACAAAGCTCAAAGAGAGCGTGATTGGGTTCTAGATGAATTCAGAAACGGTAGATCTCCAATTATGGTTGCTACTGATGTTGCTGCCAGAGGTATTGGTATGTTATAATTTTATTTTTTTTTATTTGCATTGTTTTTCCCATTTTTGACTGTACTAACGAAACAAAGTTTCAAGGAAAATTGAATATATTTAATTTTCACTGAAGTCTTTTACTTCCAATAATAATATTCCTATGAGTTACCAAATTAAAAATGAAGTTTAATTAGGATCTTTTTTTTTTTGATCTTTTTTTATTTTTTTATTTTTTATTTTTTTTTTTGAAAATGGTTTGGGTGAATACAAATATTTTTGTATGCATGAGATTATACAAACAATAGTGAAAAATTACGTTATTAATTAATAGAAAGATGAAAATATATATGTTGGGGTTAATGATTGTTTTTTAATGGTTTTTGATGAGATAGTGACGAGAGAATCATGAGAAGAAAGAGAACAGCAAGGGCTTTTCTTTTTCTCCTTCTTCTATAACCATAAAATTACAGTCGATCAATATGTTTTCTTTTCATTTATATCTTTCTCTTAATAAGTGTTACAACTTAAAATTGATATTAAGGCTTTCGAACGATGTTTTCGTTTTAATAAAAGTTTTCCAACTCTTCTTTTTTATTTTATTTTAAAAGAAGTAGGATGGGGAACTATGAGGCCTTTCGTTTTAGTTTTTTCTTTTCTTTTTTTCATTGTTGATAATTTTGTATATAGTATGCATATAGGAAATATATATATGATAACTTCATTCATGTTTTCATTCTTTATAACTTTTTGGAGGGGAGAGTTGGAGAGCTACAGACATGTTCCATTTCCTTGAATAATGATCTTGTGTTAATTATTCATGGTGAATATCTCTTTAGATTCCAACGACAATAATTTAATTGCAATTACAGTTAAGTGTAATTTGGGGGAAATAGCAAATCATTCGAATTATATGAATTTCGTTTACTAACAAACAATTAAAAAACAAAACAATCAATTTACAAATAACGTACTACTCAAAATATTGACACACATATATAGATGTATGCCATTTTTTTTTTTTTGAAGTACTGTATTGTATTCTGTACCTTGTTTTTTTCTTTCATTTTTTAAACCAGACGTTAAAGGTATTAGTTATGTTATTAACTACGATATGCCAGGTAACATTGAAGATTATGTCCACAGAATTGGTAGAACTGGTAGAGCAGGTGCTAAAGGTACCGCTATCTCCTTCTTTACTGAAGATAACAAATCTCTAGGTGCTTCTTTAATCTCTATCATGAGAGAAGCTAAACAAACCATTCCACAAGATCTATTAAGATATGACAGAAGACAAAGAGGTCCACATCCAAGATACGGTGGTGGCCGTGGTGGCCGTGGTGGTTACGGTAGACGTGGTGGATTCGGTGGCGGCCGTGGTGGTCGTGGCGGTAATGGTGGCTTCAACAGACCAAGAGATGGTGGTTGGGGTAACAGAGGTGGTAACTATTAGACCATATTATTTTGATTGTCTCAAAAACAAACTTTTATAAAAATAAACATTATCTGTATAATATAATTAATTAATTAATTTTAACTAAAACAATTTTTCTTATAGAGTAATCAAGAAAAAGAAAATGGCATTTCTTCAAATTATACCTATTGAATTAAAAATATATTTAAGAAATATGGTGAGAAGACAAGTTTCTATCTATTTCTTGAATTGAATTAAAATGTATTATATTTATTTTTATCTGGTGATATATATTTAATTATAAGTATATAGTACGGAAAAATAGTAGTATTGGATGCAGAAGTAGTATAGAAGATTTGGGTGATATAATAATATGAGTAAAAAAGAAAATAAAGAGCACAGCCGTTAAATAGATCAACTATTTAACAAAAAGGGGAGGGGGGGAGAATAATTTATCTATATTGAATTGTTTTTATAATAAATAATCTTAAAATGAATGACATAAATTTTTTTTTAATTAAAATATCTATTCATTTAAGAAATAGTAACCAATAATAAAACATAAAATAGCAACAATAATAGCTAATTGACCATTACCTTGATTACCTTCTGTCTTTTCTTCCTCCCTTGGCTTGAAGATAACCTTCTCACTGGTGACATCGACGGAACCAATACATTTACTCTTTAATAATTTTAAAGCATCATCAGAATGGCCGATATCTACAAAATATTCAGTAGCATCTCTACCGGCTTGATCGAAGATGATTTCATCACCACCTGGATGTTCATCTAAAAACTTGGAGACATCGTAGACTTTGTCATCGATGATGATCCAGGTATCCTTTGGAGAGTTGTGTTCAGCAATTTCTTGATAAGTGAAAACGGTAGACATTGTTATGGATTAGTGGTTTTGTATGTATAAAAGTTAGAAACGATTGGTTTGTTCTTCTTAATGAAGCGAAAAGTAGTAATAATAGAAATGAGAACAAAGAAAACCTCAAACTGTGAATAACAAGAATTAATCAACTTCAAGTACACTGTATATATATATATATATATTACTTATTTCTAAAATAACATTCAGATAGATTTACAACGTTATTCCGTCAATAGTATTATGTATATGTGTATAGGTAATATTACAAAAACTGGTCATCTCGTTTATCGCTTTACTCAAAAAGACGAGAAAAACTCTTCCTCACTGAAAATTTTAAAATCGATAGAAACAGCGCACAACGCTGAAATGAAGACCGTTAAAATGCATGAAGTTTTTTTTACTTTCGGCTCTCAGTTTATCGCTCGCTAACGCTGTCGCTTTGTTTTTCTTTTCGCAATTGCTGCGTTGCGTGGGTGGTTCTCTCTCGCTGCTTCCACGGTGATGGGAAGATGAGGTTGTCTCCTCTTTCTTTAGGCGATAAAGAAGACAAAATAGAAAGAAACGAGCTAAATTAAAGCAATTTCAGTTAGTTATCTTATAACGGACTTTTCGCTGTTTACGCCATAGAATTCTCTCGGTCTACCGTAGTATTAATAGTGGGGCTAATGATTGCTGCTGACAAATGCATTTATTTTTGTTATACTGCAATTTCTCTGCATATTCTATAGAACTACGTAAATATCGGATGGAAGATGATTCTATTGAACATACTAATTGTATCGGATCTATCGAAATAAAATATATAAATTCGATGAGCATAATTCTTGTGAGTTAGTTGTCTTGTTATCAATAATATAACGTTTTTAAAATACACAGAGGGATAGATGATTTAAAATAAGTTTCTAATCTTTTCTTTTTTTTATTCTTTTTTTTTTTATCTTTCAATTACGTTGAGTTCAGTCCCTTAGCTCCAAAGTAAGGGTCCTCGATATCTTGCCTTCAATCAAAATTTGTCCCTTTTTTTATGTAATAATGTTAGACGTGTATCGCTAATTATTGAAAGGGTATCATAAAATACATATGTAGAAATAATAGTTGTTTTTTTGTTTCTTATAATTTTTTTCTTAGATTGCGCAACCAACACCATTTTTATTCAGTTTCTTTCACGGCTATTGAACTTGAACTGTTATTATCAGAGTTATTTCCACTATCGATTGCATATGTTCCAACAATATGTTTATGTTCATCCTTAGTATCATCTTCATTAACTTCAAAACTAGCAGTATTTGTATCGATAACACTATCTTCAAGATCATTACGATGTAAACCCATTAAAGTGATATCATACCCTTGACTCTCCAAATATTCTTTAAATAATATATCTTCCCTATCCATTGCTTCTTTATCTAATTCAGGTAAACAGAAATATGTTAAAAATGCAGAAAAGACAGCTAACGCTGAACAAACATAATAAGCTGAAGCTAATCCATGACGTTTAATTAAAGATGGGAAAATATAAGAACCAACAAATGCACCAATCTTACCAACCATTGCAGCTACACCATATAATGTACCTCTTACTGGTGTTGCATTGATAGATGCAGCGATGTAACCAATATTATCACCTGCAGAAAACCCATCTAACGATGAAAAAACACCATAGATGACGACAAAACCACCAATATGTTTAGTTAAATGTTTTAAGCCACCACCGATACCAAACCCTAAAGCTGCATGAAGTAATAACCCGATTGTCATGGAAAATCTAGCACCAAAATAATCAGATGAGTATGCACCAAGGTAAGATCCTGGTAATTTAAACAATGTTAAAACTACGTGCCAACCGAAATTTTTGGCTAAAGAGGCCTTCTTAGGTAATACAAGACCAATAATAATTGAAGAATATGTACCGAATCCATATGCTGAAAAATCATATAAAAACCAAATTACTGAAATTATTAAACATCTATACCAATAGAATTTAATAATTTGTAAATATGGAAGACCTTTAGTGAATTTAGTCTTTTCAAAAGCTTCAGATTCTTTGAATCTTAATCTTAAAAAGAAAAGAATCATTGGACAAATTGCGCCCATCCCTAAGGAAATTCTCCAAACAGGAGTTAAATGTTTTTCACCACAAATCCAAACTAATACTAATGGAACAAATGCGCCCACAACAGAACCACAATTAATAGCCAGGTTAGTAAACCAAATAAACCATCTATTTCTACAACGTTTTGGTAAACAGTTTGCAGCTTCTGCAGCGGCTGGTGAACCAGAAGAATATTCGGAACCAATACCAATACCAAGGAAAAATCTATATATTGTCAAAGCAGCAAACAATCCACCAGGGTGTGAATCTGTAGTGTGAATACCCCATGCACCACCACACATAATTGCAAACACAACGAGGAAAACGGTACCGACTAGCATCGAAGCTTTACGAGAATAATGATCGGCAGCATAACCAAACACCAATTGACCTACAACAGTACCAACAAATACAATTGAGGCGACATTCTTGATTGCATTAGATTCAGTATAAGCTTTACCATAGACTTTTGAAAGACAGGTAGAAACAGTAGATATGGAATTGTTGATATAACCATCTGAAAATAGACCTGCCCCACATGTTAAAATGGACCAATATTTTCCCAATCTACCACCTTGGACTGGATCTTTTTCAGATCCGGTATACTTGTTGATTTTATTGGATGATACGTTATCGGGTTTTGATTCCTCTATTTCACTAGAAGTTCCTTCTTCGTAATCGATATCTGGACTAACTTGGTCTTTATCCCAGAAAGATGGCTGTAGAATGATACATTCTTTCTGATGTCTAGAAATAATATCAGCCTTAAATTCTTTGAAAGATCTAGGAATATCCCTTGTAAGAGAATGTGTTAGATGTTTGTTATTTATCAACTGCACCATGATTATATTAGCAATATTTGGTATCTTAACTTATCCACAATACTAATATATATGTACTAAAATATTAAGAATAGTAAGGAGAATATTATGAATAAACTGGGATAAGAACTTGGGAATCAGCACTCAATGTCCATTTCCATCAGCTTTTATATCATTGAAAACTGGAAAAAGCACCTTCCATTTTAAATGTTATACAAATTCTATGATGACCACAAATTCCTTTGAATAATGGTTGAACGGTTTGTCTGTTAATATAATCATATACTATTTGTGTATTTTGAAGAGAATTACTAATATTAGAACAATATTTGAAAAGGTACGACTAACAAGATTCGATACAATTATTTTTACATTATCTACAAACAATATAACCACCTTTATATTTAGTCTAAACAATATACATGTAAAAAAGGTCTAATATTTCTTTTTTCTTCCCATTGTTGACTTATATAAAATTCCGTATTATGGTAGAATTATACAAGTAATTATTATAAAACAACGTTTGATAGGTCAAAACCTTCTCCGGAGAGGCTAAATGTATTTTAGAGAGAGGATTCTAATCGTAATAGAATTCTCGATGACACTTGCTTCTTCTTCTTTTATTACTTAAGATGGTATTGGCCGGCGTCAGAAAAAAAAGTTAATAATAATAGACCGGACAGTGACGAATCTAACTTCAAGAGTTTTAAATGTCCCAGAATAAATAATCTTACGGAGGGGGAAAACGTGGCTATTGTCATTAAGATAAATATATTATTCTGATAGAAAAAGTTGTAATTGTAATGGGGTAACGGCATAACAATTGATACCCACCTATTGGTTTGCAACAGATGAAACTATCTAGGTAAATGCTATAAATTTTAACCATTTTCGATTTCTAAACGTGGGAAGATTAATATCGAATAGAATAATTACATCTTGCCATAATTCTCATTCTTGAACAATAATTAACTTTTGAGAAAAAACGTTCAAAGGTATATCAACTCAACAAGTCTACAACCTAAATTCAAACATGTGGGCAGAAGAACTGGGGTAACGATTTCATTTCGGTGAGCGTTTGGAACACATGTGTAGACGCACATGCATATGCAAATGTATAACAACAACAAAAACAATCATTTCCTAGTTTGGAGATACATGATTAAGATATAAATATTTTTAATCAAAATAAAACTTTCTGGAAACAATAAGAATAAAAATATCATATTCCATTATTTTTGATTATTTTGTTTTCAAATAATTAAAAATAGTTAAATATCTTTTAAATAATAAAAAATGTTTATTGATTTGAATTATATTATAAAATTATAAAAGTTATTAAAGTCTGGTTATATTTGTTGATGAAATAATAATATACAGAATGGATCAAAAATATGTACTTTTCTCATGTGGAACTGTGTCAGTACATATATATAGTCACAGTTACATTGACTAAAGAATAGTTTCACGAAATTCTAGGAATATGAAAGAATTAAAGGAATACTAGGTCGTATTCAATTAATTGAAATGGTGAAAAACTTAGAATATCTTCAAAAAAAGAAATTCTAAACATTAATATTCTTCAACACTAACGGTGTGGTCAATTTTTTTCATAACAGATTCTTCAGAATCGTTTAGCATTTCAACCTGTGTTTCTTCCTCATCTTTGTTAATACCCATTTGAGACATATCATAACCAGATGCTTTTAGATATTCTAGGAATCTTTCATCTTCTCTGTTCATAGCATCTTGGTCTAAGTCTGGTAGGAAGAAGTAAGAAATGACAGCTGAGAAGATACATAGGGAAGAAGAGACCCAATATGGAGCAGATAAACCGTACTTTCTAATTATGGTTGGGAAGACGTAAGAACCAACGAAGGCACCAACCTTACCAATCATGGCAGCAATACCATATAAGGTACCTCTAACTGGGGTCGCAGATATCTTAGAAGCAATACAACCAGCGTTGTCACCCGCAGAGAATTCACCTAAGGTCATGAAGATACCGTACATAACCACAAAACCACCGATGTGTTTTCTTAAATGTTCTAGACCACCAGCCAAACCGTAACCAATAACGGATTGGATAATTAAACCAACAGAGAGAGTTAGACGTGGACCAAAGTAATCGGCAGAGTATGCACCTAAGAAAGAACCTGGAATGTAGAATAAGTTGAAAACAACATTCCAACCAAAGTTTTGATATATAGAAGCGTCTTCTGGTAGGACAAGACCAATGATGATAGAAGAGTAAGTACCAAAAGCATAGGAAGAGAAATCGTATAAAAACCAGATGACGGAAATCATGGCAGTTCTGAACCAGTAAAACTTAATAATACGCCAGTAAGGTAACCCTTTTGTGAACTTAGTTTTTTCGAAAGTTTTACCTTCCTTGTACTTCAATCTTAAAAAGAATAATGAGATTGGTGGAATGGCACCTAATCCAATAGAAATTCTCCAAACTGGAGTTAAATGATCCTCCTTACATATCCATAGAAGAACTAATGGGACGAAAGCACCCACAACAAAACCAGAATCAATAGTGAAATTGGTAAACCAAATGAACCATCTGTTTCTCTTACCAGCAGGTAGCAAGTTAGAGGCTTCGGCAGCAGCTGGAGACCCAGAAGAATACTCGGAACCAATAGCAATACCCAAGAAAAACCTCCAAGCGGTTAAAGCAGTAAACAGTCCACCTGGTTCTGTACCAGAAGTACCTTTACCCCAAGCACCAGCACATAAAATGGTAAAAACAATTAACATGCTTGTACCAAACAACATGGAAAATTTACGAGAGTGTTGATCGGCCAAATAACCAAAAATTAATTGACCAACAACAGTACCAACGAACACGATAGAAGAAACATTTTGGATGGCACGAGACTCTGTGTAAGCTTTACCGTAGATTTTTGCGAAACAGGTGGAAACAGAAGAAATAGAGTTATTAATATAACCATCAGAAAAAAGACCAGCACCAGTAGTAATAATGGCCCAATACTTGGCAAAACCTTTTCTGTTTACATCATCAGTGTCATGATCAGAATCAGTAGTCTTTTGGCCATTGGTTTTTTCGTTACCTTCAACTGAACAATCTGAACCAGAGGATATTTCTTGAGCGATCTTGTTACCTTGTGTGATTAAACATTCCTTTTGATGTCTCCTAATAATTGTATTCTTAAACTCAGTAATGGATGTCGGAACGTCCCTTAATACCGGACTAGTAATGTGCTTGTTCTCGGAAGACATTTTTTGTTCCAAACTTTTAAGAAAGAATTAGTATATTTTGCTTGATGTTATACTGAAATATTCAACAGTAGTAATAATTACAAATTGAAAATGAAAAACAAGAGTGTCTATATACTTTCAACTTATAATATATTTCAACCCCTTTATATATTCTTAAATTTATTAAATTCTATGGATAAAATAATCATTCTACCTTCAAGCTAAAAAAAAGGTTTTAGAACAATAACCCACGAGTTTACTAATTTCTAAATATCGAATCATCATATTATAACCAGGTTCAAAATTGAATGGAGATGAAAAAATAAGGTAAAGAATTTTACACGAGGTAGCCTTATTGACGAATATTTATCAAAATTTCAGTCAGTTTACTTCATATGATGAAAAACAGAAACATCTAATTGAAAAAACGTGATTTGCAACGAATGGTCATATTGATATTAGATAATCAGTGTAATTTGACAATAAAAAAAGAAGAAAACAAATACAATGGTGTACTGAACAACCTTACAACAATAGGATAAGCAGCTATATTTAAAATAAGAATGTCCGTATACTAGTACTGCAGGTTGTGTTTGCTTTTTCTTTCAATGACACAATGTTGTTATTACAAGAAAAGAGGACAGAATGTGAAAAACGTGGACCTCGAAAGCCATTTTGTTTGATTTTCATTCAAATTTCGCTATTATTACTTTTATCGTCAAATTGTAAGGTTGAAGCTTTCATTTTTTGCCGGGGTTGTGCATGGAAATACTGTGAATATTAATGAAATGCGTTCTCGGAAATTTTCATCGATACCGAAAAAACAATAGTTAAGATGACTTGAAGAAAGAAAGAAAATAATGATAACAACACCAGTAGCACACACAATCAAAAAAAGTAAAATGGAAAATACCTACATAAAGTTTTTTTAAACCATCCCTGAAATGTCAGCTGAGAAGAGTCAAAGATATATCTAAGGGACCTTAAAGATAACTAGTTGAAAATATAAAAATTAATAATTATTCCTATATTTGTTGTTGATATTTTTCTAAGAGAAATCAAAATGTAGCGAATTTTGCTTTTAGGTCGCATAATTTTTCCATTTTGGGAAAGACAGACAATACAGAAGCATTTTGGTGTAAAATAAAATAAGATGGTCCAAGATATTACCACTTCCCATTCATTGGGTTAAAGGTAGACCGTGTGCTTGTTTTTTTAATTTTCTTACTACTTTGATCGAATATTTCTATACACTCTTTGTTCCTTGTTTAATTTGGAAGGTCCTTTTTTGATGTTATAGATTTACTTTTAATTCTTGCGTAATTGACCCTTACAACCAAAATAGTCAGTTTTCCATATAATAAGATGATTTCGATAAAGAAGTAAAGAAAATTGTACTGTGCTATAATTCATTATTAAGAAATAGTGACAAGATTTATTGAAGAAATGTTGAAAGGAAAAGCCTAAACAATATTAGAAAATGGATATTCTGTTACTTTTTGTTTTATTTCAAAGGTAGTTAAAGAATTTTCATCTATTCTTTTTCCTTCTTTTACTTTTGATCAATACTTACGAAAAGAACCACTTAAAAAATAGGTGAAAGAATGGTGCTTAATCATTTGCTAAACCTGATATCGAGCGGGTCTATGAATTATGTAAAAGTGATATTTTCGCTGTGGTTGTTTTCTTTTTTTTACGATTTCTGAATAAAGAAAATAACTTTTTTCCTAACTTACGGGGTTTCAGGTGGATTGTGGATTAAATTAGACACTTCTGTAATAATCTTAATTTTATTTGAAGATACACGTGCCCTGGAACAATTCTATTCAATTTCAGTATTAATGTCCCTTTTTGGTAATTTTAACCAGATGCTTTGTACTTATGTCCTTCTCGAAGGTATATGTGTTTTTTAAAATTACGTAACCTATACAACTTTATGTGCTTTACGGCGCAATGGATGTTGACCATGTAGGATTATCAGGGGACACTCTCTACTTTGACACACCTCAATACGATCATTTCAAATAACGACGTATATGAACAAATCTAAGTTTATTCCGTTCAAAAGTACTATTGTTATCATGGTAACTATATCTTGGATTATTATTTTTATCATAATCAAAATATAGAAATTCTTTGGGAGGGAGTAATTGAAGGAAAATCCGTACAATAAATATGGTGCAGTTTACATTTTTATTTTGCTATATGATCTAATTTACAAAAATTTATAGAGCAATAAAGAAAAGGATGAACAAAACAGACAATTAGTATATCAATCTAATGATGACCTATCGTTCCTCTAAAGGATGGGAAAAAATGTAAAACAAATATATTAGTGTTTTTTCATCTATCTACAGAAAATATTTTCTGTTATGCTCTTGTCCTTTTTTTCATTTTTTTATCTTATTTATTGGTCTTATGAATGATGATGTTATATTGTTATGATTCGATTTGTGTTCGTCTACCATGAGAATTTAATACCTGCTTCGGCTAATTTGGCCATTCTGGCTTCTTGTTTAGCAACAGCTCCGTTTTGTAATTCTTTAGCGGTCTTTTTAACATCAGCCTCTACGTAGGCTCTCTTTCTGTACTTGAATAATTTTTCAATCTTAGCACCGTTACCTAATAAGCGAACTTGTAGAAGATGACCCATAAGTAAATAATTGTTCATAGTTTCTTGTGCGATTTTAGCATCTTCTTTGTTGGCAAACTCTATGAAACCATAATGTCTAGAGTTACCACTCTTTTTATTTCTAGCTAATCTAACTTCTTTCAAATCCCCAAATTGTGAGAAATATTTACTTAGTTCTCTTTCATGGAAACCATGTGGAAGTCTACTAACATATATGATACTGGAATATTGAGCGTTCTTATCCTTTTTGTTTTCATCATCACCTTGGTTCTTCTTGGACTTTAATTTCTTGATGTTATGTTTAGAACCATCTTCGTTATCAGATTCAGATAAACCTTCAATATCTGAGTTTAGTTCGTCGGCAGAAGCTTCTTCAGATTCGCTATCTGAAGATACGATGTCCAAGTTACCATCAGTCTTCTCAACATTAACAGCAACTTCATCAGTTGGTGTCTTCTTTTGGACGTTCTTCTTGGAGCTTCTAGTTGTTACCATCTTGTATTCCTTTTTGTCTTACTTTGGATAAGTTGAATGTAATGAAATATCAACGATTTCTACTAATTTAAATATTTATACTTATATATATATGTTTGTAGGTACTCTTTTTCTTTTTTTGCTTTGTTCAAGAGCATATCATACAGAAACGAGATGAGATGAGATGAGATGAGCATTAGGAAAAAGATCAAAAAAAATTTTCAACGCATACAAATATTTGTCCGCTAAAGTAAAATACATCGCTACCTACGGCATCGTTTTAAAGGTAATAATTAACAGTCTATCAGTTTTATAAACTACATACATATTTCAAAGAGGATTAATATACAATATCTTGGTTATGACCATTTGAATGATAACACTACATTATAATAGTGCTGATGTTTAGTTGGCTCTCTGTATTCTAGCATCAGCCAACTTTCTTGCACGAATATCAGCATCAGAACCAGCTTCAAATCCATTTCTGAAGTCCCAATTCATCTCTTCACCTTTGGTTAGGAAAGAGGTGTTCCCATTCATTTCCAGGTTCCATTCCTTACCGTAGAAATCTTTTTCATTGTCTTTAGTTAGATTGAATTGATCAATTGAACAAGAACCATTACGAATAACAGTACCATTGTCATCGATGGACACAATTGCATCTGGGAAACCTAATAGATTCATACCCAAAGCAGCCTTTGTAGCAGCATGAGTTACAATAAGTATACTTGAAACTTCTGGGAATCTTTCTTCAACTCTTGGGATAAAGATTCCAAGAAATTTATTACATCTCTTAAATATATCTTCTTTAGTTTCACCTTTATCACTAGGTATAATAGATGATTCCCAATCGTTAGAAATCATGCCATCAAATAAACCGTTCAATTTAGATACAGGGGCGGGTATTGGAATAATTGGTCTATCTGGTCTATACCATTCACCGATACCATTGTCAACATAAAGTGGTATATCTAGTTTCTTCTTTACAGGTTCACTAGTCTCCAGGCAGCGGTAAAATGGGGAAGAAAAAATTAGTTGTGGTTTAGTCTCAAGAGTAGAGATAAAATCAGCCAGTTGTTTAGCTTGATCTATACCATGTGCGGCAAGTGGTACGTCACTATCCACGTTTGTAGGTGGTGGTGGGTAAGGTCCATCTGGAAGCCAATTTGATCTGTAGCCGTGTCTTGCTATGTATATTGTTTTCACTGTCATTATTACTATGTTTGAATATTTATACGGTAAATTTTATCTTACCTTTACAACACAGATTTTCAACAAAATTAAAATAAATAGTAACAAACACTTTATAATTTATTATGTATCTACAATAGAAAGTTAGAAAAGAATGATGTTCAATAAATTTATATTACTTTTATTCTATTCCATTATAAACATTAATTAATTGCACGTTCCTATGTCGTTTTTGCCTTTAATTCCCGCAATATGCAACATCGGAGAAAGAAAAAGAAAAGAAAACGAAAAAAAAAACTATAGACAATTTGTTCGAACAATATTAACAAATGACTACATAAATGATTGTTCTTTTTCTTCTGTAACGTTACTTAAAGTAGGACTATTTAATTATCCTAAGAAGGGATAATAATATGCGATTATTTTCTATAATATTAGTATGCAATAAAGATAACATGACTCTGGATTTTTTTTCATTGTTTAGTAGCCTCAGGGCTACCTCCATGAAGTTTCCCCAGACCAGCCTTTTTCTTTGGTACAATAGGAGGTACCTTTTTTGTTAACCCCTCTATTTGAATATTTTCCAGTTTTTCCTTCTTGTTTGGAACGATAGGAGGTGTTTTCTTTTTTCTTTCTGATGATTCTGGAAGATTAGTGCTTGTATTATCCTCTTCATGTGACTCCCGTAAACCTTGCTTTCTTGGTTTCACAGATGGTGGACGGGATATTACAATTTGGGTCCTCTCCCCGTTGTCTAAGTTAGGCTGTGATTTGGGGACAATAGTTATATTCTTTTCTTGGTCACTATTCGAGTCTTCACGTTGACTTGCATTGTCCCTACTATTACTTTGTCTACTTCTTGACATTGGAGGTACAGGTGCTATACTTGTGGAGCTACTCTCCCTTTTTGGAACATTAGGGATACTACGAGGCTCCCTCTTTGTCAAAGAAATTAATGAAGTAGAAGATGAAGAATGCGATGTGGAAGGAACTGGAGGAGCTATATTTTTCGAAGGTGATTTCCGAGCGGATATAGAGTCAGTATGATTTGGTTCTAAATATGCTTCTAATTCAATATCCTCGTTATCATCGTCAGTACTCAAGGATGATGCAACTGCATTTGAATCTTCTTTTAGTTTAAAATTTTCGTATAATTTATTTGATAATTCATGTTTTTTCTCTTCATCGATAATCGAAACATCGGTCCTATATGCAGCATAGACTGGCCTATGATCACTAATAGTTAATGGCGCCGATGAATATGCTAGAGGATGAAGATTATCGCCTTTGTACACTATTCTATCTGTCCATGATGGTGTTCTTCGTTTCTCTGAACTATCATAGATATTTGTTCCAAAATCAAATTTATAAGTTGGTCGAAATTGTAAAGTTGGTTCACAATAGTCGTGAAATATAATACCAGAATCAATCTCTTGAGTCAATTGATCATGTTTTAACAAACGATCGATATATCCTTCTCTTTCTAATTCCAATTCTTTTCTTACTACTTCATTAGGTAAACTAATTCTGTAATTTAAGTCACCAAACCAAAACACAGAATCATTATCCAAAATTTTTCTTGATCTTGCAAATGAGATATTCTTATTGATAGATACGTAATCATTAGCACGTTCATCAACATTACTATTACCTGCTGAAAAATGTGCATTTACAAAACAAAACGAAGTACTTCCATATTCAAATCTAATTGCAACGGCACCTTTGTTCCCTGTCATACCACCAAATCCAGTTTTTTTGGTAGATCCCTCAACTCGTTTCACATTTTTAACTTTATCAGATTTCACAAAAAATAATATAACCAATGAAGTCATTTGCTCAACTCGTAATAGAATGTATTGGTCATCATATTGGTTCAAACAATCTTTGACGACATATTCCCAAAATGATCCCTTCGTATTATCAGCATTTAAAATTGCACTAGCTGACATTTCAATTACTTCTTGCAACCCTAATACAACAATATCTGGTTTAAATTTATCTCCGATTGGGAATAACCACTTAGATAAATCCGCTCTTTTAGACATCCCATTTACATTATAGGTACCTATCAATAAGTTCATATTAGAAGTAGTTGTATATTGATCAGACATCTTGGATAGTTCTTCATTAATATAATCACCTATTGGATCATACAATCTAACAGGTTTCTGATTTGGTAATCTACCAAGTAATGCATCAATATTCTGTTGTTTACCTTTATCCATAAAGTTATTAATATACATTCGGCTTACAGATTTTTTTGCATCCGATAGTGCACCAGAAAATGACATTTTACCCTTTCTAGAATAGGATGATTTCAGTGCATTTGTTCCTGTATAAATTTGAGAGATCTGATCACCTTGATCTGCCCATAATGCATTGTGTTTCTTAATAAAATCAGATTCATCAACGTTGGCCCTTGGTGTTATCAGTTCTACATCATGTAAAAAAGTTTTGAATAGTTCATAGGACATTAATTGTTGTACCAAGTTTGTTCTATCTAGACAATCAAGACAATTAGTCCTAAAGATACCATTTTGTTCAGATACTATTTGATCTTCTTGAACATCGTAACAATAATAACCTTCTGTCAACAATGCATCTTTAATCAAAGGTAAAATTTTCTTTGCAGCATTAAATCCATCCTGAGCAGTTTCCCTATGGAAATCAAATTCTGTTAAGAATATATTTTTATTAAAGCCTAATTTGTCAGATTTTTGAAGATGACTTCGATATCTTCTTGATAATTCAATTTCATTTGATTTTGTTGATAATAAATTTATAATATTTACAGGACCATATTTGCTTATTAATTTTGCAAAATGTTCATCAAATACAGGTTGTGTAGCTTCAATCGATCTTGTTATTGTCACTTTTGCATTCATAAGTGCAGCATCTTGTTCCCAGAATATTGGTACACTACCTCTCACTTGAGTAAAAGCATAACAATATTCATTAGAATACATTATCAATTCTGTCTCTACAAAATTCGCTACGTTCCCATCGTCATCTATTCCTCTTGCATTAAATCTTGTTCCTGCTCTTTTCCAACTTTGTTTTGAGATAACAGTTAAACCAATCTTTAATCTTTTAATATATGTAACAAACGTTTCTGCAAAACCTCGTATCACTGTAGTCAAAAATCTTTCATTATCTAAAATATGTTTTGTATGGGAATCTAATCTGTCTCTATAAGCCAGTACTTCTTCCATTAAGAAAGAATTCCACATATATTCTTCTTCCATTGTATCATCATTAACAGATTCTTCATTTTTAAAACCTCTATTTTGTAAAGTACTTGTAAGATCAAAATCATTACTATAATAAAATGAACCATTGGACATTAACTTCCTTACATCATAACAAGGATGTCTAGATAATTGTTGTTCATGTAAATCATTCAGATCACCTGCAATAGGTTTCCCACTTGGATCTAATTCAATAAAATCCCATGTATTATCATTTAAACAAAAGAAATCAATTGCATAGATCTTATTAATGACTTCTTGAGGTATTGGAGATGCAACTTTAGTCTTTCCCGTTATTACACCTATAAATATTAGGCCATCAATTTCTAATAAACCTATGAATCCATGGACATCATGTGGCGATAATTTTCTAAATCTATGATGTTGTAATTCTTCCTTTGGAATCAATTCAATTGCACAGGATGATTTTTTTGATATATTATCTTTTACTGGTGTGAAGAGCAAGGCATATGATTCTGATACAATCGCTAATTTTCTTTCCCTTCTTTCTGTGGATAGAAGGATCAACATTTGAAGAAATGAATACTATAAATATTCTGGTAAAAACAAAAAAAAGATGCAAAATTAGAAAAACAAAGGAATGGAATAATATTCTCGAAAATATGTTTGTATTATTCTTCGAGAACTTCGAATGTTCCAATTGTTTAATAAATCAAAGATGATTTAAAATGTAAAAAATGTGAATGGGTTGAAAAAAAAAAGTGTCGATGTAACCCTTTGTACTTCACAAAGGAAAATAAAAAAAATGAGCAAATAATTGGAATGTTATGAAGGATTTCTCACAAACACAATATTCCAGAAACAATACCAAGGGTAAAGATATAAATATCACTTTTAATATTTTGATTTACTCTTATTAAATTCTTAGATATAAAAAAAAGTTATGTTTATGGTTTCAGTGTAAGTACAATTGATAAATTTTATAATAGGAGATTAAAGTTATTGAAACTGAAACTGTCAAGCGGCGCGAACTATGCGGTTAATTAATATAAGTGAAAAAATTGAACGAAACGAAATGGGGCGAACTATAAAATGCGTAATCATAACAATATAACAATAACAATGCAAGTGACTCAAAATATTATTATTACTATTATAATACTTAATTTTACTAAAATAAGTAACAAGAAGTTATGCAATACAAAAGGGATAGTGTGCATGTCTTACGGCAGAGTGTATACTATCTGTTTCAGAATATTATATAATCTGCTTTACAATTAGCAGTAAGTAGTAAATACACCAACAATTAATCCACCCTCATATCTGTATCAAGCGCTGTTATTGACAGAAACTAAAAAGAACAGGCTAATCAAAGGTTGCTTACTACTACCGTTCTGATATTATGTAACATATCTTATGTGAGGCAGTACCATAGTTCTAGTAATATAAAAAAATATTAAATAACGATTCAAAAATAGCATCTATCTGGCACAACAGCTGCCAAAGTAGAAAACTTACTGACATCATATCTATATATATATATATTGCATACAGTCCTGTAACAAGTGAATAAACTTGTTTTAATGTTTACCGATTTGACTCATTCAACTCGATGAGTGCGATGGATTGGCGTTGCGAACGGTAAAACAGCGCAGCGGCAACCCAAAAATGAGAAAGAGAAAAGCTGGAAAACTGAAAAAAATTGTGAAAAAAAAAAGAAAAATCAAACAAGAAAATTTTGAAAACTGTGGAACTTAAAAGAAACATCATGATTATTTACATACAACTAAATAAAACATAAAAGGAACCATCTCAAACATAGAAAGAGTTATAACCTTTAGTGGATACTAGAAATAATAACTGTTTGTACTCAAAGAAGGAACTTGTATATTGTTTCGATTCACGCTTTATTTTAACTATTTTTCATTCTCTTTCCTTATCACAATTGATTGCCTTCAGCCGTGAATCTGAAAACAGCAACAAAGAGAGAAAAAGAAAACACGATCCGTAGTATTTTATTAAGATACACTGAGTAATAATATCAGTATTTACAAACAACCAGAGATTACTTAATACAATATACCTATGATGAAACAAGAAAAACCGAATACAAAGGATGATGGCTATGCCAATGAATATATGAGTATATATGGTAGTAATGAACCTGAAAAAGATATTGGTAATAATAACACAACACATGAAACATTTGATGCAATTGATACTTTAAATAATCCAAATGTAAATATACATGATTCTAATGTAACACCTGATATTTTATTAGAACAACTCGCATATGTTGATAATTTTATTCCATCATTAGATCAAGATTTTGTTAATTTAGATTCTTGGGTAATGAATGAATCACAAAATGATCAAAATAATGTAACTTCTAATTCAAATATTGATGGACATAATGGATCTACTATGAATACTGTCTCCGGAAATACATTTGGATTAGATGAACAATTAGCTGTTGAGTTAAGCGCATTTGCTGATGAAGTATTTATCTTCCCAGATGAGGATAAGCCGCATAATAACAATAATGTTAATGATAATATAGATGATGATGATGATGGTGATGAGACTAATAATAATAACAATAAGGATATGAATGTATTTAATAATAAAAATATAAAGGATGACCATAAGAATAGAAATCATATGTTATCACAAAGAAGAAATAAATTTTTGACCTCACAATATGATCATTCAAAATCTAGGTTTTCTTCAAGAAGACCACATCATGAAAATGATAATATTGATAATGAATTAGATCATGATAATAGCATACATCCGAGTTTTGATATATCTAATAATAACATACATGAAGATCATAGTGGATTTACGAATTTTGAAGTAGATGGACCAACAACTAACAGTAACAATATTCATGATGATGAAGAAGAAGAAGAAGAAGAGAATGCTAATCTTAATCAAATTTCATCTTTACCTCAGCATTTAATAGATAATACTAATTTGCCATATCAAAGAAACCATGTCCCAAATATTTCTTCACCATTATCAAACTTGGTAGCGAATAATTTGCCATCAAAGAAACAGAAAACACAAGCAGTTAGTAAAAATAATAATAATGCGACGTATGATCCACATGAACCACAAATACATATGCCAGATTACTCACAAATTCCTACATCAACTTTAGTTGCATTGTTACCAAGGGTAAAAGTTCCAGAAGGTGCGCACACTTCTTTATTGAAAGCTGGTTTTGCAGAAGATCAAATAGTTGCAATCTCAGCTATCATAGCCTACAATGAACAACATAAGCAACAAATAAAATATTCTTCAAAATCAAATTCTAATGGTTCTTCTAATGATGAAAGATCGTCATCTGATAAAGGCGCTCATTTTTTATTGGATCTATTATCTGATAAGAAACCAACAAAAAGAACAACATCGCAACAACAAGTGAATCATGAAACACCACGTTCTCAGCCAAGCCCTGTCAACATTAACACTAATACCAATGATAATAGGCAAAAATCGAATGTTTCAGAACCGGCTCCAGTATTACATGCTTCACCAGAGGTATTAAATATACGACAAAATGTTCACCAGCAAAAGAAACATCATTATACATCAGATGATAATGGCTTTACTTCATCTAACCACGTGGCACGGGTTAGTAAACCGGTTTCAAGGAAACAAAGTGTAATTCCTAAGCCTGTAAATACGCTAGCTTCATTGAAGGCTAAAACACCGTCTACTTCGCCAGTTAATTCTACAGTAATGTTAAGGAAAGAATCAAGACCTTCAGTAACAAATTTATCATCTACAATCGACCCTCCTACAAATGCAAATGTTCAACCTAAAGCAGAGCCCACAAGTCATTCTACATATGCTCAGAAGAAGAAATTGAAAGGGAAAGAACTTGAGAATTCCATTAATGAATTAAATGATCTAGCTTTGAAATTACAACAAAAGATACATACTTTAGAAATGGAAAATAAGTTATTGAAGGACTTAGTGGTTAATAGTGGCGAGCAAGAAGGCATTGAACAAGCTGAGTCAATAAAACAAAATTTATTGAAGAGAGCTCATCAAACTGCTGTCGAAGTTCAAGGCGATATTAATGGGAAGCACGATAATGATGATGATGATGAAAGTGATCAAGACGATGAAGCTACGAAAAAAAGAAAACTCTCGAAGTAGAACACAGATAATAAGTACTCTTTATACATATCATATTTAAAAAAAAATCCATTGATATATAATAAGGTAAGACAATATTTTCAGAAGTAATATATTAATTATAATTGTGTATCCAAAGATAGTTGATACGTATAAATCTGTACCTCTTAAGCAGCCAGAATAATTTAAATATGAGTTAATATATGTTAATTTGTCAATAATCTAGAGACGCGAAAATTTGTTGTCATAATATTTTTATTCTCTCTCATTTCGTAATTTACGCGTTATGAACCACCAAAATTTTTTTTGATTATGTATAGAACAGAAAAGAAATTATTAATAAATGCCATTGTTTTTACAAACCTGGATACCAATTGAAGTTATTGATTAAAATAGTCATAGATCTCAATTAATCGAAGCAAATTGAACCATTTTACAAGATAGACAGATTTAGTAATAAATCTTACATTATAGACATAACTTTCCTGAATTGTCCAAGATAATGATGAGTGATAAACTTGCAAAGTTGAAAAAACTGCAAGCTGCTAGAAATGGTGGTTCAGTAGAAGATGATATAGATGACACATATGATGATGATAAGCTATATGATGAAGTCGATGAGAAAGAATATAGAAACAGGAAGCGGAAAGAATTACTACAAGATGATTTTGTTGTTGACGATGACGGTGTAGGTTACGTTGATCGTGGTATTGAAGAACATGAAGAATATTTCAGCGATGAATATAGTGATGATGCTAACAATAAGAAATCTTCCAAACAAAAGAAGAAGGCTAAGTATCAATCCAAAGTGAAATCAACCAATCAAATTAGTAATATGTTGAGAGCCCATTCTTCCAAAACCACTGAACCAAAAATAAAGAAGCAGATACAAATTGATGAATTTGATGACATTCTGGGTGAATTTGATAGTGGAATATCTTCAAAACTTAAACCAACTATGAGTTCTTCCTCAAGACCTCCATCTTCTCCTACAAATCGTATTGAGAAAAAGAGACCACTTGTTACCACATCAGATTTAGAAGTAAATACAAAGAAACCTAGAGCTGCATCAAACAGCAACACTGATTTTTCAAATAATAATTTAATGAATTCTTCACCATTAAAGAAAAGTATAAAACAAGACGATGACATGGATGATTTATTGGAAGATGTGGCGGTCTCCCCAACGATGAAAAAGAATTCAACAGATTTGCTAAGGAAGTCTAACGACCCATCTATAGTTAATGATATTGAAGATGATGAAATGAGTAGTGATGATGATATCGTGGTTAGAAGAAGAACCGTTAGAAGTGCTGCAGCTACTAGACAGATTAACTTGAACTCTAGAAGTAATCCAGGATCTTCACCATTTGTCACTGCACCCGGTACCCCTCTTGACATAAAGTCTAACCTGACAAAATCAGCATCACCAATAAAGAGTACACCATTACAATTCTCAAATAAGTACACAAAGGAGCAAGTTGTTGATCCTGAAACTAATTCCTTCAAAATGTATTGGTTAGATTACGCTGAAGTCAATAACACATTAGTGTTATTTGGAAAAGTAAAAGCACTAGATAATACTATGATATCTGCTATGGTTCAAATCAATGGTTTAGAGAGAGATTTATATTTTTTACCTCGTGAAGGAAAGACACCTAATGATATCCATGAGGAAATTGTTCCACTTTTGATGGAGAAATATGGTTTAAGCAACATCCGTGCTAAATCTCAAAAGATGAAATATGCCTTTGAACTACCTGGTATTCCACATGAAGCAGATTACCTGAAAGTCTTGTTACCATTTAACACGCCGAAATCATCCTATGATTTGATTCCACCTGACTTATCGAGTGAAACTTTCCATCACGTATTTGGTGGTAATACTAATATCCTTGAACAATTTTTAATTCAAAACAAAATAATGGGACCATGTTGGTTAGAAATTAGAGATGGTGATTTTACCGCATTGCAAAACGCGTCACATTGTTCATTGGAAGTTGCAGTGTCTAAACCAAGTAACACCAAAGTTTTAGATGATATTAAGACAACAGCTGGATTGAACTGTTGCTCCCTTGCAATTCAAACCGTGATGAATTCCAAAGAAAACAAGCAGGAAATTGTCTCTATTTCTATATCAACATACAAAAACGTAACACTAGACGTTCCAATCCCAGAGGATTTGAAACCAGATGAAGTTGTCACACTGGTGAGGCCACCACAAGGTTCTGATTTTGCAGTCGGTCTGGCTACTCTTGTGAAACAGAAACTTCCTGGTAATGTTCGTTTATTCAACAACGAAAAGGCATTGTTAGCATGCTTCTGTGCCATGATGAAAACATCTGATCCAGATGTCCTTATTGGTCATAGACTTGATAGTATTTATTTAGATGTCCTAGTGCATAGATTATTCGATTTGTCTGTTCCGACCTTTAGTTCATTAGGTCGTCGTTCGAGAAAAGAATGGCCTGATAAATTTGGTAGAGGTCATAACAATATGAATCATTTCTTTATTCGTGATATTGTCGCTGGTAGGTTAATTTGTGATATCGGTAATGAAATGGGTCAATCCTTGACTCCAAAATGTCAAAGTTGGGATTTAGCTGAAATGTTCCAGGTTACTTGCCAACAAGAACACAAAGCACTTGATATCAACTACCAAAATGCTCAGTACCAGAATGATCCTAATATTATGACTATGGCTTTGCAGGAAAATATTACGAATTCCATGATTACTGCTACGATTTCTTTTAGAATTCAAATGTTATCTTTAACCAAACAACTAACCAATTTAGCCGGTAACGCCTGGTCTCAGACTTTGGGTGGTACAAGAGCAGGTAGAAATGAATATATTTTACTTCATGAATTCGCAAGAAATGGCTATATAGTTCCTGACAAGGAAACGAGAAAGATGAAGGCACATAGACTTGCTAATACTGATGATGGTGAAAATGAAAATAATGACACATCAACAACCTCTAAAAAGGCAAAATATCAAGGTGGTCTTGTTTTTGAACCAGAAAAGGGACTGCATAAAAACTATATTCTTGTCATGGATTTCAACTCTCTTTACCCATCTATTATCCAAGAGTTTAATATCTGTTTCACCACCGTAAAGAGGAACGTGAATGATATTGAGGAATTACCAGATGTTCCACCCAGTGATATGGGACAAGGTGTTCTACCACGTTTGCTTGCTACCTTAGTGGAACGTCGTCGTGAAGTGAAAAAGATTATGAAAACAGAATCTGATCCACATAAACGTGTCCAATGTGATATCAGACAACAAGCTTTAAAGTTAACCGCCAATTCCATGTATGGTTGTTTAGGTTACATTCATAGTAGATTTTACGCAAAACCCCTAGCGATGTTGGTTACAAACAAGGGTAGAGAAATTCTAATGAACACCAGGCAGTTAGCTGAGAGTATGGATCTTATGGTAGTATATGGGGATACAGATTCTGTTATGATTGATACTGGGTGTGAAAATTATGATGATGCAATCAGAATCGGTGTTGAATTTAAGAAACTGGTAAATGAACGTTACAGGTTACTTGAAATTGACATTGATAATGTCTTCAAAAAGTTATTACTACATGCAAAGAAAAAGTATGCTGCTCTTAACGTTACTATTGGTAAAGATGGTAAGGAGCACACAGTTTTGGAAGTTAAGGGTCTGGATATGAAACGTCGTGAGTACTGTCCACTTTCAAAGGATGTCTCAACTCATGTGTTAAATTCGCTACTCTCAGACAATGATCCTGAATCCTCTTTGCAGGAGATATATGCATATCTTGAGAATATTAGAAGTAAAGTGGAATCTAATGAAATTAGAATTGACAAATATAAAATTAATACGCGGTTATCCAAGGATCCAAAGGCATATCCCAACGGAAAAACTATGCCTGCCGTTCAAGTTGCTATGAGAATGAGAAAAGCTGGGCGAGTGGTAAAAGCTGGTACAGTTATTACATTTGTTATCACTACAGGTAAAGGAGCTGAAGATGACGTTACCGATAAAAATATGACGGATAGTGCTCATTTCGCATCAAGAGCTTATGCATTAAATGATGTTATGGTCAAAAGTAACAATCTCGTTCCAGATCCAAGTTACTATCTGGAAAAACAAATATTTGCCCCTGTGGAAAGATTGCTGGAACGGATCGAAAGTTTTGATGTTGTTCGTTTGAGTGAAGCCCTTGGTCTTGATAGCAAAAAGTTTGCTAGACGTTATGCGGATGATAAGAATAGTACTGGTGTTCATAACTTGGAACCCCTAGAGACAACTATCTCTGATATTGAAAGATTCAAGGATTCCGCTAAATTCGAACTAAATTGTCCAAATTGTTCACATTCCTTCCCATTTGGTGGTATTATCGCTTCACGCTTTTACAAAATGTGTTACAATGGTGTGCAATGTAAGAATTGTGATCACATATTTAATATGATTCAATTTACAAGTCAATTAGAATCGGTTATCAGATCACATATTTCATTATATTATGCCAGCTGGCTCTATTGCGATGATTCGACATGTGGAAATGTTACTAGACAAATATCTGTCTTTGGTAAACGTTGTTTGAATGATGGTTGTACTGGTGTCATGAAGTTCAAATATACTGATAAACAGTTATATAACCAGTTGTTGTACTTTAACTCCTTATTTGATATGGAAAAAAATAAAATGCAACTATTGAAACCACTGTATTATGAAGGGGATGATGATTATCCCTCTGAACAGTTAGCGGAATCCTCAATTTTAGCATTAGCCGAGCAAAATAGGAAACTATTTGAAGTCAGCCAGGGTGTCGTAGATAAATACTTGGACAACTGTGGTCGTCGTTATGTGGATATGGGCTCAATATTTGACTTCATGGTCAACTAATGATGTATTGCTTATATAAATATATGCACTTTATAAATATTAAATTAATTCTTTTTTATTAAACCACTTTAATTTTAAGAATTATAATTGAAGAAAAAAAATATAGAAACTAGATGAATTAACTTAAATTTCATATTAAGATGGTAATAAAAATACATTCGATTTTTGAAGCCCTCCAGGGGGAAAAGATAGAAGAGGTTATAAAAATTACCATATGTTACTCCTAATTTTCATAATAATTTGTTTAAACGAAAATGAATCTCTTCATCAAAAAAATACAATACGTTAACCTTTCGACGTTTAAAAAAGAAAAACCGATAAAATCTTGTTAAAAAACATAAGGTTTTTAAAAAGATCATTTGCATCAAAAATTGATATCTCAGGGCGAGAAAACACTTCCAAAATGGAACAATTTTGAAATTTAGAAAACTTCACAACCAGATGAAAAGAATATTGGTTGTGGCGACAGCAGTTTATTCCTTGTGCAAGAAACTAATAAAGAAATTCCGGGTGACACAAATTGGAACCCAAATTCTGAAAATGAATTCTGCCATACAAAATATTTCCCGAGCTTCGATCTTGAAAGGCCACCCTGACTTGGGCTCTGGGAATTGTAAACACATTGTTGGACTGGTTTACAGATGCGGCAGGTATGGTAATGGCAAGCTCCCCACTTTTCAAAACTGGGGTGCTTTCCGGGTACCCTAAGATTATTTGCCATGTGGGTACTACAGTTTTTGTAGGGTAATTACAATCATTGTCTGTAATTTCTATTAATTATTCCTTTAAGTCAATTATTTTAGTAACTACTAGAATAGTAGAGGTCTGTTTTTTAATTATTTAGTTATATGAGGATGATTGTAAATCTAATTCTATATTGCATTATTACTTACATATTATTCGATTTTTGCAGAACTGCATTTGGTATATTTTTGTTTAGTTTAATGAAAGGCTCTAGAATAGAGCATTCTCTATTGTAAGAAGATACCTTAAATAAGTTTCTTATTTTTATAATCGACATGGGTAGTTATGGAGTCAGTATCACATATATGCGTTGTGAAGGTAAATTGGAAAAGCAAGTGGGCGTTTAATTTATTCGTTAAGAACCAAGTAATAAGAAGTGCAATTATCTCTATTCTATATGTTGATTACTTCAGGTCAAGGTGTATCACAATTTACAAACTTACTGTCATTTTTATTTATTAATTTTGCTTGCACGTATATACTATATATATATATATTATTAAAAAGTGAATGGAAATAATTAAAATAGTAAAAATTGGGAAATGAATAATGTTAATGGAGCAAACTAGGCAAAGAGAACAGAAAATAAGAAAAAAGGAGAAAAAAGGGAAATTTAGGCGACACAAAAAAGAATCAATTTTAAAAAAAAGAGGTTCCACATACAAAGAGAGAGCACGCAAAGAATAGAAATAATAGATAAATGAGCATGTGAAAGAATAGCAAGTCAAGAAGAGCATGTGAAATTATAAAAGAAGGAGAATACGGGAATGTGAAAGTATTAAAATGTTAAGATATAATCAATCAGCATGTGAAAGAGAAAACAAATGCAGAAAGAATTGCATGTGAAGATTATAAAATCCTATATAGTGAGAATCTGAAAGATTTAGTGGCAAGATTCACTTATATTTTTTGGTGACGCAATAAAAAACCTTCAAGTTTGAAGAATTTACATACATTTGATTCGGTAAGAGGCATGTCAGAAAAACAACTGGTTAATTTTCTGTGTAGAAAATAATATTATATAAATGTATGAAAAAATGTAAAAGGTACTCAATTATTACAGAAACTTGCTAACTGATATCAATGATGTATAATTGCAATATATCATTTTCATATTAAAAGCTTTTCCCTGCCTGGTTATTATATTGCATGTAATGGCTCGGTTGATTGATATACTCAATACCTAATGGATATTTGATTTTATTCGATTTTGCACTCTCTTATCAAATTCAATCAATCTTACTAAAGACTGGCAAAACATAATGTTAAATTATGTACTTCTAAGTCAATAGAATCAATAACAGAGCATTCTCTTCAAAATCTTAAAATTTGATGTAGTGCATAACTTATATTTTATTGTTTTGACAATGCAGATTTAGAATAGAATAGCGCATAGTGCGATAATGAAAACTGGTGTATAAACAAAGATGAGATACTAAAAGAATATATAAGAAAGATAAGTAGGAAAGATAAATATTGTAACATATTTGTAACATATAGAGATAGGTATACACATACTTTACTTCAAATACTTGTCATTACAACTATACCATGGAAAACCCAATTACTATAATTTTGATACAAGTCAAGAAACTACAAATATAGGCCAAACAGTACAATATATCGAGAATAATTGGAACTTATCCGAGAAATAGATCACCATTTAATTCCTTTTTGAATGAACTGAGACAATTTCTATTTTTTTTAAATAATTTTTTATCTTTTGTTCAAAACATACCACTTTGACCTAGTTATAAACCTAACTAGTAGATTATAATAATATAGGCCTATTCGACTTGATATTGGACGACAGGATTCTTGTATGAACATATGTATTGAGTATAGAGTATGGAATTACCATTCTCACGCCCAAACATTTTTATATATTATATTTTTGATTCTTAAAAAAGACTTGATGAATAAACTGAGTAATATTTACTACCTAAACTATGCATAAATATAAAATAATTCAATATTGATTACACCCTACAAGATAATACTACTGATGACTGTATAGCTTTCGACTATAACAATGTATTGATTGATTAGTTTTCTTATATTTAAAAATAGTGATGTATATTTTGATTAAAATATTTGGCATGTCTTATTTATACGTTATTGATCAACTTGAAACCGTGTGTTGCCACACATAATAATCATATTTGACATGTTTAAAACGGATATAATATCCAGATATATGCCATATATATACACCGTGCCTCATTACATAACGTATTCCAGAAATGGGGGGTCACTTTTATATACCTGCAATGATAGGACAAAACAAAACAAAAATTACGTCATTTCACTTTTCTAATTTTCATCACGCGTGAAGTTTTATTACGTATAATTTATGCATCTATACATACAATAAATAGATTTATGAACAAAAGGTTATTATTAATGATCATCACCCATTCTACACAACTAATCAACACGTTTACCTATATCTTTTACCTACATTCTAGTAAATAATTGATAATTTAAATATCCACTCTTAATCAAATTGTTATCTCAACGCCCGAATGAGAAACTAGAAGAAATATCGAATATTTTATATAGATAAGAGAACTTTTTGTTTACGCCGCGTCGTTGTTGCTGTTTTAAATCACAGATAATTTAGATAGGTAAATTTATTTTATAAATAAAGGAACAGATACAGAGAGGAGAATTTAATTAAAAGGGTATCTCTATTCCGAATTTTTAAGAAAAGAATATAATACAAGACAGGATTAAGTTTTTTAGTCCATTATAGTTTTTATTTACATATTGATCAATTCATTAAGCACTTTAACTGAAATATTAGTAAATAAGTAATAATAGCAATCCATTGTTAATGATTAGTTATATTGATAAGAATGTTTTCCAATAACAAATATGAACCATTAGATAATGGTTTAAATTATACAAATGATACAAATAAGAATAGTAATTTGACTGTACCGCGTCCCAATAGTTCTTCAACGATTGTTCCATCAGATAATATCAGTAGTACTAGTAAGAATGATGAGTATAATACAAAGGTAAAAAATATTGCAATTCCATCTTCTAATTCAAATAGAGGTATACATCCATCTTTAACAAGTAGGCGTGGTTCTACAATTAAAAATACCCCCATAGTGGCAAATTTAGGTAAGAGTATAGATTCTCATGTCTTTGTTAGTATTCATTCACCAAATTTTAGAACAAGTCAAGATGGTCATCAAGAAGAAATAATTAACAGTGTTAGAGAAAATTATTTAAATAGTACATATAGGAAAAATAGTTTTGGGTTAAAGAGTAATACTGGTAGTTTAAAATCAGACTCCATAACATTAAGAACGCAGTCATCTTCGGAAATTGTAAAAGATAACACGAACCTTCCAGTTGAGTGTGTGACGTCTGAATTAGATGATCCAAGTTTGAAGAGTACAGGTGGTGATATCTTACGTGATATATATAAAATGACTAATAACCCTTCAGATTTAAGCTTGAAGAGACAAAAGAGTACGGACGATGTTCGTTTGACGATGGAAAATAGAAGAAGACAATCGACAGCAGGTGGTTTGAATGTTCCTGGTGGATTTAGGAGAGAATTTATTGTGAAAAAGGTTAGAACAAAGAGTACAAGTGGACCAAGTAATATATCGTCTAATAGAAACGATTATGGGACAAGTAGGTCAGGAACCCCAAGACCATCAACTTCTGGTGTTAATATTAGTGCACCTGGGGTGGCATCATCGAGCGCACAGCTTTCGATAGATGGACAGTCGAATCAACCCACACAGCAACCTTCTGAGGTTCCATTCTTAACGAAAAATTTTATGGAATTTCTATATCTGTATGGACATTTCGCAGGTGAATCTTTTGAGGATGATTTCTTTGATGATGCTGATAGTAATCAATTAGAAGGTTATAGTAATAGGAAAGAGGAAAGTTCTCCATTGATACCACTTGGAAGTACAGAAGCAGTTACCAAGTCACAAGTATCCAATATGAAGGGTACAGCCTCTCCGTCTAAAGTATTTCTGCTATTGATGAAATCCTTTGTGGGAACTGGGGTACTATTTTTACCACAAGGTTTCCACAATGGTGGTTTATCATTATCAATATTCTTATTAATATTTTTTGGTTGTTATTCTTATTGGTGTTATTATATTTTAATTCAATCAAAGGTTTACACGAAAGTGGCCTCATTTGGTGACATCGGTCTGAAGACATATGGACCTTGGATGAAATTTGGTATATTATTGGCTTTAGTTCTGACCCAAGTTGGTTTTTCAGCTGCCTATATGATATTTACAGCTAAAAACATTGGGGCCTTTTTACAAAACGTTTTTAGAATCGAAAATTTGAAGCTGGGTTACATAATGTTTTTCCAATTAATTGTATTTATTCCATTATCATTCATTAGAAATATCTCGAAATTGTCTCTGCCATCACTTTTTGCTAATTTTTTCATTATGATTGGATTGGTCATTATTTTGTTTTTCACAATGAAACATTTATTTATAACTCTTGATATGAAACCTGCCGAAGGTGTCATATATGGTATTAATAGTAGTAGATGGACATTATTTGTCGGAACGGCTATTTTCACTTTTGAAGGTATTGGCTTAATTATTCCTGTTCAGAATTCTATGAAGAATCCAGAGAAATTCCCATTAGTCCTCGGTTTGGTTATTATTACAGTTACTTTATTATTTGTAACGGTAGCTGTTGTCGGTTACTTATCATATGGTTCAAAAGTGGAAACTGTGATCTTATTAAATCTACCTCAGGACAACATTACCGTTAATCTTATTCAATTGTTCTATTCTGTGGCGATCATGTTATCGACACCATTGCAATTATTCCCAGCTATTAAGATAATTGAAAATAAAGTGTTTGCAACAGGTGGTAAATTTATCTTAAGATCTACTATGGGTGAAAGAGCAGTAAGGCAATTCACTGAATCGGGGAAAGCAAATTGGAAAGTCAAATGGGCTAAGAACGTAGGAAGAACATTCATTGTGTCTAGTGTTGTATTAACAGCTTATTGTGGTATAAATTCATTAGATAAATTTGTATCTATTATAGGTTCATTTTGTTGTCTTCCATTAGTATATGTGTTCCCAGCCCTGTTACATTTGAAATGTTGTACTTCAGCACGTGAGAATGGAGATGATAGTAAGGAAACAAAATTATTAATCACCTTTGATCAAATCTTGGTTGTATTTGGCCTAATTAGTATGGTTTATACGTCCTACCAAAGTATATTTACATAATATATCAATAAGTATTTAACAGCATTTTGCAATTATTTATAAGTATTTTGAGAATGAAATATGGCCTGCATTTTATTATTTTCAATTTGTTTACGTTTTGTTGACACATCAACTGTTTCTGAGTAAAACGAAAAATTAATATTTTTTAATATTTTGAGATAATTCAATTCAGAGGTTTTTGTTTTATTAAAAAAAACCAAAAGATTTTAGAAATAAAATTGCCCAACTCAAACGTTCTAGATAATACTAAATAATAAAATTATATATTCTTGATATTAATCAATATTTTTACCCAGTCGACGGGTGTCTTGGTTCAGAATCGATCTTACATACTTGTTTTGTTATCAGCACTTGTTAATATATGTTTCCACCTACGCCTAAACATTTATCATAAAGTATTGAAAAATGTCTCTATGTTTACTGTATTTATATTTCATTTCACTTGGGAAAGAACCTATTACAGATGATTGTCAAATAAAAATTTACCAAGATAATTAATATCTTCTTTAAAAATCAATATTCAATGTATCTACTACTTCTAGAAACAAATTTTTTAAATACAGTAGTACATCAGTAATACCTCCAATTATTTAGACTGACATATCTTTAATGTTTCTTCAAGTTGGTCACTATTTATCTTGCATATCCATCCTTGTTTTTCGGTTCATGTTAGAAATACTGAAGCACCTATACGATAAGAAGAACTTACACATTATATATTGTGACTTAGTCGTTACCAATTACAACCATTGGATAACTTATTTAGGTTGAAAGCAATGATAGCTGTAAAATAGGAAACGAATTTAGATGTCAATTATTATGTAAAAATTATAATTTAATTCCATCAGTCACATGACTGGACGGCTTTAGCTCAGTCAAAAAGACAGACTTCCGAAAAAGGCGAAACTTAATTATGATTGGTCTACAGTTTATAAAGAGAGAGCCCGAAGGGACTTTAAACTAAACTTATAATTACTAAAGGACTAAATGAACACAATTTTAACAAGTAAGAAGAACCCACCTCTTAAACACTAATTTTAAAAATTCCTGAAACCCAATTACCCTTACATAAGTTAAACCATTGAAACTTTTGATTCAAATAATAAACATGTCAAAATATTATGCCTTTGAGGAACAAACTCAAACTGCTTTTTCTGCCGAAGTTTCACCATTGATATTAGCACCGTTAGATGATATAAAATGTATGGAAACAATACTTCTACCATCCGGTAATTTAATTACAGATGCGACAGTTGTTTCCAATTGGTTAAAAACGCAGAGAATTACAATAATTGATAATTGCAACGAAATCAAATCCTCAATCAATAAATTCGAATCAGAGAGGATAGCTGAGTATAATAACGCAAAGGGTTACCTACAAGATAATATATTCAATAACAAACAAGAAAATGAAAATAGGTTGGTACCTACATCAATTATTGCATTGAGTGCTTTCTTTACGGGTAGAATAATGTGTCATAAAAACTTTGGTTGGTTGGCAACAGGTGGTCCAACTTCTATATCATCCAGTCTGATTAAAAGTCTTCCGAGTAGGATAATCACACCTTGGGTCTTTCTATGTACAACCTTTGCAATTGGTTCTCCAAAAACGTGGAATAATTTTACTAAAATTATTAATGATCATTATATTTCTAAAGATGTCTCAGAGGTAATTCATACTACACGAGATAATGTGTACAACGTACTTATTAATGCTCCAACCCAAAGCATAAACCACTTCTCTGAAATTACTTTACCAGAAACAGTAAAGCAGATAAGAAAAAAGTGTTTAGATTTACTTCAGATTACTTAAGTCTTCGATAATTTTTTTATCGTCAAGAAAAATAATTCTTATCATATGAAACTGCCTGCATTCATGTATTATTATTATTATTATTATTTCTTTACATATCAATATATGTAAATATATGTATATATATTGTATATTAAATTTCTTCTTTAATGGATATATTCTTAAATTTCGAAACTCATTTAACTGAAATATTTTAATATTTTATTTTCATTCATTCAATGCCGTTATTAGCCATGCAGGTGCATCATCTTTCGCTATTTCTACAATCTTTGTATCAAATGCTTCAATAAGTAATTCTACAAGGATTCTACCACCTCTACTACCTGTAAATCTTCTATATTCTTCCGAGACACTTGCTAAATTCCATCCCATAATTCTTCTTAAACAACCTATCACTGTACCTGTTCTATGTCTACCCATACCACAACATACTAACAAAGGGTAATTTTTCCTATCAACGATTGTCTGTAGAGCATTAATGATTGAATGTTCCGTAAGACCATCCCACGGATTATCATCTTCGCCACCATCTGGGTTAATTGCTGCAAATTGTAAAGAAATATTATAACTATCACAAAATTCTAATAAAGTATCCTGAGGTTCTTCATTCGCTAACCAAATAATTGTCTTTAAATTTAAATTTAACAAAAATGGGAAATTTACAGGTGATGGTTGTCCCGACCTATAAAGGTACCTCTCAACGGGGCAAAAATTTAAAGGTGGCACTATACGTTCTTGAGGAGCATGTGATATGAGTATTTTCTCCCTACCTGATTCAGTTTCCTCATTAATATAAATATGATCTTCCTCATCATCTTCTTCCTCATCATTCCCATCATTATCATCTTCACTGTTGGTAGGAACATTCCTTATCTTGCTAGCATTTTCACTTTGATCGTTAGCAACCATTTTACCTTCTAAAACATCTGGAAGGTGTGATCCACCCGTCGTATTTTGTGATTCCATCTGTACTGTACGTTATTCGATTTATATAGTATTACTCATTATTTACAAATTTCACCTTATGATCCATGCTTGGAATAAATGTATAGCTTGTATATTCTGAAAAGACACTCCTGTCATCCTTATAATCATATCCTATGAAAGTTTCCAAAATTCCACTGTTAGACTAATCTACGCCCGTATAGAATGATCTGAAAGTTCTCTCACTTTTTCTTCTTCGAAACCCTAATTTTCTGCCGCAGACTCCGCTAGTTTTAGTGAACCCTAAACCTTTACGTGTTCTTTGAAAAAGCCACAGGTTAGTAAGTGAAACGTTTAATGTACATAACATTTTGGCGTGTCACTTAGGATTTTATTATTATTATTATGATTCTTATATAAGAAATATAGAAAATCGTGAGAAAAAAAACGATTAATAGACAATTATATTTTATAGGAACTTCTCCAATTGACTATATTTATTGTTAATTTTTGGTAAATTTTATTAAATCACTGTTACCATCTTTTTAAATACGTGCAGAGCAATAATTTACTTCTGAAGGAATAACAATAATAATAAAAGAAGAGGATATAATCACAATACACAAGTAGAAATGGCCCCAGTTATGCAAAAGAAAAAGAACCCTGTTCAAAAGGATGATATCAAAAAAGATTTTGCTGAAGCAATTAATCTAGCTCTTACATCTTACAAGAATCAAATTAAAAATAACCGTAAATTGAGACTTATTGATATTTTTGCTGCTATGTTAGTTTTTATTGGTATCTTCCAAACAGCTTTTGTTGGTATAATTCAAGATAACTATCCTTTCAATGCTTTCTTAGCTGGTTTCATAATATGTGTTGGTCAATTTGTTCTATTGATGTGTTTGAGATTACAATTGACTCACCCATTTGAAGGTATCTCTAAGAGTAAGGCCTTTGGAGAATTCGTCATTGCTAGTTTGATCCTGCATTTCACTTGTCTACATTTCATCAACTAGAAAGACAATTGTATCGAGAAGATTCATAAATTCCTTTTCAATGTCATCTCTTTATCTCTTATATATACAATCTTTCCTTAAAAAAAAAATAGACAAAAAAGAAAAACAACGATATAATATAATATAATATAGTATATACTAAAAAAAAACAACCACAATACTAATATAGTTAACCTTTTAAAAATTCTTAACATAGTTCTTCTTAAAAGAATAGAATTTCTTAAGATAGGCGTATAAAATTCTCTTATACATTATTCAGTTCCCACTACTGTTTCAATTTCAGTTTGTTTTGACAATCTTTACAGTACCATTTCCCCTTTGGAAGTGTCTCTAAACCGATACATGGTAAATGAAACCATTCTAATTCACAACTATCACCGTCACATCCAACCATTTCACCATATGCTACTTGATTACAATAACAGTATAACGGTTCACCATAGTCATTTGTTTTTGGTCTATCAGCATATACAGACGTAACAACTGGCTCTACAGCAGCTGGTATTGGTTTGGTCTCTTGTTTCTTAGCAAGAACTTCAGTGTTAACTCTTCTCTTTCTCCTCTTCGGTTCATTACTGGATCCATTTGCAACTCTTTTGGGTTTTGTAGTAGTTTTATCATCTTCTGAAGCTGACTGTTGTGCCTGTGACTGTTGGGCTGGTTTTTGGTTTTGCTTCTTCTGTGCTGCCATAGCCTCTCTTCTTGATTCACTCTTTAAGGCCTGTGAAGATTTAGCTGCACTCTTATTCTCTATTTTATCCATTAACTCATGATGTAAATGCATGGCAGGATGGTTATCATTCCCTAAACGTAATCTTGTTGGGATTTCTTGATTTCGTAATGCCACTTCATATGCTAATTCTAATCTATTATTTAATGCTTGTAATGATTCAAGCATTATTGAAGACACATGCATCTTTTCTTCTAATGAAGGCATTAGTTCTTCAAATAATGTATTAATTTGAGACAATGATCCAAGTTTCTTTGATTTGAATTCTTCAACTGGTAATTTACTCTTATCAAATGATTCCTTTAAGAAAGAATCGATTTTATCATTTAGATCTGGTCTTGAATATATACATTTTGCATCGATCTCATGCAATAAAGTTAAATAACGGGATGTTTCTATTGGATATTCTTCCAATACGTCTGCGATGTCATTTAAACCAGGATATAAATTTGCCGGAGTACTCATGTTTATGTCTGTGTGTATGTCTGTGTATATCTTAAATAATTCAGGAGATAATGCTTATGTATTGTGTTTATAACTATCTAAATGAGCCTTTTACATATAGTAAGTTAAAGTTAATCTACTTTTCATCCTTTATTTGTTTTTATTATTATTATTAATATTATAAAATCACATTTGGAACTTTCCTTTTTTTTTTTTTTTTTT